GGTTAGGGTTAGAATTAGGGTTCGAAGTTAGAGTTAGGGAAAATAGTATTTTGAATGGGAATATGTTTTTTGGTCCCCACAAGGATAGTAAAACATGGAAAATTCAGACAAGTGGGGACATTTTGCCGGTCTCCACAAGGAAACAGTCTATTTTAGGCTTAGGGGTTAGAGTTAGGGTTACAATTAGGGTTAGAGGTTAGGTTTATAAGTTAGGGTTAGGGAAAATAGTATTTTGAACGGGAATACGTTTTTGGTCCCCACAAGGATAGCAAAACAAACTGTGTGTGTGTGTTGTGTGTTCTCACCAGCATGATAGCTGTGGCCAGCGCTCTTTCTTTGGCACACATCCTCTTCAGCTGATTAAGGGGTCCCATCAGGAACATAGTGCTGAGAATACACACATTATTTTACTACACTGACTTTATTGTAGCAACGTACAAATGCACTACAAATTTGATTGCTGTATCATGTGCACGTTAGGTGTTAAAAAACTGGACGAGGGTCCCCCGGATAGCTTAAATCTAAAATAGGCCTGTTTTGTAAAAGCCCACATAAGCCACACATACACCCACTCACGCTCAACAAAACTCTACTCACCTGCACAGAGAGGCAACGTTGCCGAGTGTGTACAGCACGGCAAACAGAATCAGACCACCCCTTGGAATCCACAGCAAGCATGTCCCCTGCCACCAGGTAAGAGGATGGACAATTTAGCGTAGACCCCTATTCTACTGTAGACACTATCACTGGGGCCCAAACAACCCTTATATTACTATAGACACTATCACTGGGGCCCAAACGACCCTTATATTACTATAGACACTATCACTGGGGCCCAAACGATCCTTACATTACTGTAGACACTATCACTGGGGCCCAAACGACCCTTATATTACTATAGACACTATCACTGGGGCCCAAACGACCCTTATATTACTATAGACACTATCACCGGGGCCCAAACGACCCTTATATTGCTGTAGACACTATCACTGGGGCCCAAACGACCCTTATATTACTATAGACACTATCACCGGGGCCCAAACGACCCTTATATTGCTGTAGACACTATCACTGGGGCCCAAACGACCCTTATATTGCTGTAGACACATTCTAGTTGCCCTTCGTGTCTAGACCTCTAAAGACAGTTTTTAATTTCTCAGAGATCACCCCCCCCGTACTTTCTGGAATAAATACATAGCTATGTGAACTTGCTTACTGAATGAGGTTTGGGGAAACACTTGGTTTGTTCCAAGTCTGACTGACTGTGACAAACATCATTTACAGTCAGAGCAATGCTGAAATAATGGGAGAGAGATGACGACTCACCAGAATGGAACACAAGACCCCGAGCACAAAACATGCGATAAAGCCCTTCATACGAGTGCCCCAGCCCAGGGTGGAGGCTTGGTTCGCCGCCTGTGTCAACACCGCACCATTTATAAACAACATAGCTATAAAACATGGATATCATTGACCTAGCTAGCAAGTGTTTCTAGCAACTATGTTATTGCTAAGCAACTGTACTCGTATTAACGTAGATAAAGCACGCTTGGCAAACGGCTTAGCGATAAAGCCAAACTTAGCTAGCTATTATTTAGGGTAAAAAACATATTAGCTAACTACAGTAGCTAGCTATCTAGAAAAAGTACCTACTTGCAATATGTCGCCGTCATCATTGTTGCCATCTTGGCCACTCAAAACTTTCTTTAGTTTGTCCATTAAAGTTGAGACAGGGATAGAATGTAGCTAGTTCTAGAACTTTCCCGTGGCTTCGATTAGCTTAGTTTTTAGGAATTCAAAATATCGATTTGTCGAGCTATTTTTCCTGTTCGAAGTGCGAGTGCAGCAGGTGGATTGCGAAAACTTCCGCCAGTGTAACCACGGAGACGAGGCGGGCTGGGTCTAACTGCAGTACCACAATAACAAAAGGTGGCAGCAGAGCCTTATATTTGTGGTGGAAACCTTCACAGGAGTACACAGTAATCAAAGATAATGCAATTTAGCATGCATTTTACAATTAGAACAACCAAGTATTTTATTCAAGGACTTGGCAAAAACAAAGACAAAGATAGGATACAATGTAAAAATGTAAATGCCCTAATCGACTAAACAAACGTTAAATCTTGAGATAAACACAGGTTGAATCAATCCTTATAAGAAAAACCTTTGAAAAAATCCATACATTTCACTCATACACTATCACACAAACAATTTTAGAAGATACTGGATTATTGGGATTTGGGAGAATACAGAGAAGCACAGCACTCTAGATAGAGATTTGAGGGATAAGTTCTGTCTGTATCTAGACAGTTCTGAACGGTTCATTACTCTAGGCAGTTCTGAGTGTTTTTCTGCAGTTCTTCATGGGTTCTCTGCAGTTCTGGGTAGTTCTTCCCGGTTCTGTGTATTTCTGTCTGGGTCTAGGCAGTTCTATGTTGTTCTTTCCAGCTATATGCAGTTGTGGGAGGTTGGGTCCAGTTCTAGACAGTTCTGGGCAGTTCTAAGCTGTTCTAGGTGGTTCTGTTCAGTTCTAGGCTGTTGTAGCTGGTTCTGTCCAGTTCTAGACTGTTCTACGTGGTTGTCAGGGTACTTTGACCCGAGTGGAGCTCCAGTAGAGTGGTTCTGGCAAGAGCACCACCTGCACACGACACGTAGGACACGCCTGCTTCCTCCACAGCCACTCCTCTATACACTTCAGGGAGAGAGAGAGAGAAAGAGTGTGTGTGAGAGAGAAAGAGAGTGTGTGTGTGTTTTCAAGCTGCTCTTACCTCACTGTGAAAGCTATGAGAGCAGTGCAGCGTCCTGATTCCACTCCCTCCTCTGTGCAGGTCATCATGGCAGATGAGACACACACGATCGGCGTCGCTCTGCAACACACACACAGATTTACTGTTAACAAAGTGTTAATTGAATGGAATTAGACTAAAGCGGTGTTCTCAGAAAGACCCCAACCTGGCCATCACACACACACACACCGCAAGCCTACCAGAGACATGACATTCCGCCTGCGGAACCGTGTTTGCATTTTAATCTTTGGCATTCCGGCCAGCTCTGGAATGGTGGATGGAATCATGGAGGATCGTCGCTCCATATTGGCTGGTTTCGGGCAGCCAGGATCCTCAGTGGACGAGATGCATTGCAGGGAGTTTGGCCTGGCGGGTGACGGGGCCCTGGTAGCGTTGTGGAGACGAGACAACTGCATCATCGCTGTGAGTTGAGCCTGAGAGAGAAACAGAGAGAAACACAGATATATATATATAGAGAGAGATAGAAAAACAGAGAGAGAGATGACGGGAGAGTGGGGGGGTGAGAGACAGATAATTCAGTAAATGCATCCGAATTCACAACAGGAGGAACTCAAGTAAACATACCCTCACACCGGAGGGAGGTGTGTGTGTGTGTGTGTCTAAATGATGCTCCTGCTCTGTAGCTCTTTAGCTCTTCAGCCTATTCTAATCCTATTAGAGTTACTGTCCCCTGGCTGTGGCTAAGGCACAACAAAGCAATGGGATGACTTTTATTTCTCTGGCTGACAGTCACTGCCTTTTTGTTTTGACTTCCATCAAATCTCTCTGGCTGCTGTTTACAGAACATTTGTTGCTGTCTGATTAGGATATAAAAAGGGCAGGTCTCCAAGAGGCCAGTTAGACATTTCCTCTGCTTCTGTGCTGGGTGGTGTCTCCCGGTTGCAACTTGTAATAAACCGGATAGATTTTTGATTGACTTTACCCTACGACTGCTCTCCTTCTTGTTCACCTGGAAACTCCTATAACACTGAGCGTGAGAAAGAGGACATGGCTATCTACCTGTACTTTGGGCTCCAGGCCAGGAGCTGAAGAGCCCTGTGGTGGGTCGGTGGGTGGTAAAGGATCCTGGTGGAGTGACTGTGACTGTAATGAGTGTCAGTGGTCAAACCCAGCAGCCCTAGCTCTGACCCTCCCCCTCAAATCTCACTCCTAAAGCTCTGTGTATACAACTCCCAAAGACAAAGCAGATTCCTCTACAACAGCATCTCACACGTACACAGACTCACCGGACAGGGTAGGGATTGCCGCCGGTCAGCCCGTGGTGGAGCTTGTCGTTCGAAGCTGTTCTTCCTCTCCTCTATCACTGCCTCTCTTTTCTCCACCCCTTTATCATTGTCCTCCTGTTCTGCTGCTTTCTTGTAGCGGCCCATCAGTGTGGCAAATATGTTATCATTATCCTCTTCATCATCTTCCTCCTGTTGCTCCTCTGGATCTTCTGGCTCATTGAGAATCCCATCTGGCTCCTCAGCATCTGAACCTTCTGGATCAATGAACACTCTATCCTCAGGTTCCATTACGATTCTATCCTCCAGTTCTGTTCCAATTCTATAGTCCAGTTCTGTTCCAATTCTATCCTCAGGTTCCATTACAATTCTATCGTCCAGTTCTGTTCCAATTCTATCCTCAGGTTCCATTACGATTCTATGTCCAGTTCTGTTCCAATTCTATCCTCAGGTTCCATTACGATTCTATTGTCCAGTTCTGTTCCAATTCTATCCTCAGGTTCCATTACGATTCTATTGTCCAGTTCTGTTCCAATTCTATCCTCCAGTTCTGTTCCAATTCTATCCTCCAGTTCCATTGTTCCAATTCTATCCTCCAGTTCTGTTCCAATTCTATCCTCAGGTTCCATTACGATTCTATCCTCCAGCTCTGTTCCAATTCTATCCTCAGGTTCCATGATATCCTCGTCCTTGGGTTCTGTTCCAATTGTATCCTCAGGGTCCATGATACCTGCCATGGGGAGCAGGGGGTAGTGGAGGCTCACTCAGGAGCCAGGCCAGGGAGTACCAGAGGAGGGCTGGGGTAGAATAGAGGCTGGGACAGAGGGTTGGGTTGAGACAAGGGGAAGTATAGATAGGCTAAGGCTAGAAGATGGAGGCTATAGAATATGGAGGCTATAGCTAGACACTTTCAGGTTGGATTTGCTGCTGCGTGCTGGGCCTTTGTCCGATCACATCGCTGCCTGTTTCCCTCTACCCAGATCAGTGGTGAGGTAGTTCTCGCTCTCTTTCCCTCTCATATTGTACCATCTGTTTGGTGTGTGTGGCTAAGCTGGACACCACAATACACTGCTAGGCCATGGCCCCAACAGCGTGTTAATAGCAGAAAATCCTCTGTAATCTGGTTAACGCAGGGCTGACAGGGGGATGCACAGGGAAAGGGGAGGAGGTTAGAGATATAGAATGAAGAGGAATACCAGTTTGTTTTTGTGGATTCATTTGGGTAAAGAGAAGGATAATGGGGAGATGAATGAAGAGAAGGGTGAACAGAAAAGGTAGCAGAGAGGTGGACTAATAGAGGAGTAACAGAATAATGGAGTGGGGGATGAATAGAGGGGTAACAGAGAGTAACAGAGTGGGGGATGAATAGAGGGGTAACAGAGAGTAACGAGTTGGGGATGAATAGAGGGGTAACAGAGAGTAACGAGTTGGGGATGAATAGAGGGGTAACAGAGAGTAACGAGTGGGGATGAATAGAGGGGTAACAAGAGTAACGGAGTGGGGATGAATAGGGTAACGGAGTGGGGATGAATAAGGGTAAGTAACGAGTGGGGGATGAATAGAGGGGTAACAGAGAGTAACGAGTTGGGGATGAATAGAGTAAGAGGTAACGGAGTGGGGGATGAATAGAGGGGTAACAGAGTAACGAGTTGGGGATGAATAGAGGGGTAACGGAGTGGGGGATGAATAGAGGGGTAACAGAGAGTAACGGAGTGGGGGATGAATAGAGGGGTAACGGAGTGGGGGATGAATAGAGGGGTAACAGAGAGTAACGGAGTGGGGGATGAATAGAGGGGTAACAGAGAGTAACGGAGTGGGGGATGAATAGAGGGGTAACAGAGAGTAATGAGTTGGGGATGAATAGAGGGGTAACAGAGAGTAACAGAGTGGGGGATGATCACTTAAGTAGCTGCAATAAGCAGTAAGCATCTTACAAACAGTGAGAAGTTGGGCTAAAATTAGCCTTGCCAATGAACTCTAATTAAACTAGAGAGAGACAGAGAGCGAGAGAGACAGGGAGGGGGGGGGGGGGGGAGAGAGAACAGAAAAACACATGCTATCACACACACACACATCCACAAAAAATATTATTTCATTGCAACCTGGTTTGCCCGCTGTGCTGTTTTTGTGTCTTGAGTCTGCCTGTTACTGTCTGTTAGTGTGAATGTCTCTGTTATAGTGTGTGTGTCTCTGTACCATCCACATGGAGGGTCAGAGGTGAAGTACCCTCTCCAGTGTGGTGCCTCTTCTGGTGTTTCTTTCGGTCGCCATCTTGTGAGAAGCTTCTCCCACAGTCAGAGCAACTGTACGGTTTCTCTCCAGTGTGAATTCTCATGTGTGTGGTTAGTGTGTCCTGTTGAAAGAAACGTTTGTCGCAGCAGGAGCACTGGAGAGCTCTCTCTCCATAATGGAACCTTCTCAGATGCCTCATCACTCCATCGGAGCGGGTAAAAGTCTTCCCACATACTGAGCAAGGATAGGCTTTCTTTTCAGAGGGTGGTAGCTCGTGTTTGCGCTTGTGTCTCCTGTACGTTGCATCATGTCTGAAACTCTCCCCACACTCGTTGCAGAGGTAGGGTTTCTCCCCAGTGTGTATTCGCTGGTGATGTTTCAAACTGTGTGCCTGTGTAAAACCCTCCCCACAGTGAGTGCATATGTATGGCATTTGTCCACTGTGTACTCTCTTGTGTCTTTCAAATTTTCCTTTGTGTAAGAACCGCTTGCCGCAGTCAGAGCAGTAGAGGGCCAGCTCTTCGGTATGTACTGGTAAGTGTGTTGTTAGTTCTTCCAGGTCAGAAAAGCTCTCGTCACACCTTGGACAGCTGTGAGGTTTCTTTTCCTTGTGTGTTAGGTGATTTTTTTGAAGATGTTTTTCAAGCTGCTCCAAATGGACAAAGCCTTTCACACAATCAGTACACGGGTGTTTTAGTTTCTTCTTTTTTCTTTCATGCGTTTTCAGGTGTGATTTCAAATGATCCGTACGGGTAAAACCTTTACCACACTCAGAGCAGAGGTACGGTCTCTCTGTCATATGAATTTTCTGGTGTGTTTTAAGATTATCTGAACGGGTATAACTTTTACCACAATCAGGGCAGATGTGACAAGGCTTCTGTTCTCTGGTATTAGAACTCTTGAGACTGTCCTCTGTATCGTGAGGCTCTTCTCCATCCTCCTGCTTTATTTGCACCTGCAGTATATCTGTGTGTTGATTGTCCATTTTCTCTGGTGTGTCCTCCTGTAGCACTTGAAAGGAAGCTTGGCCCAAAGTGAAAGGGGAGAGTCTAGGATTGTGATGTGCTGTCCCAGGTAAGGCTCTCCCGCTGGTGATGTTACGTGGTGGACAAGATCTGATAGGATCGTCTCACTAAATACCATGTAGTGACGGTCTTGAGGTAAAAAAAATAAAAATAACAAGAAAAACATGGTTAGCTAGTTCGTAACTTGACAAAAACCAATGACTGAGACAATAAAAGTAGGAAAATGTTTTGCAAGTTAGCTAGTTACGTGCCTAAGTTGGTTGAGTATCAACATCCATCAGCTTTGTTGTTGTTGTGAGTCGCAGAACGCACGCTGGCTATCTGCCGCTCTAACAACTTCCGGTTCATCAACAGTTTACGAGGAAACGAGCAGCTAGCCTTGCCTCTTCAATCAACATTTGTAAAATACGACTAAAAGACTGCATATAAGATTTCCACGGGGCAGCAATATGGGTATGCATTCCTGTAAAGATTGTGGCAAGGTAGCTATATAGATTGCTCTTACTAATCAAGCTGTCGGTGGAAGCAGGCCGTTGGGTGTAGTTTAGCTATTAGCTAAAGTTAGCTTCCGCTGGTATGAGTTCTTTATCTCTAGTCTAGGTATCAAATATAGGCTAGCTAACGTTAGCTAGCTAAAATTGCACACTCAATTTCAGTGCATCTCCTGCGAAATGTGGGGTTAACTGTAAAATATACTCACTCGTACTTGCTTGGTAGTGTCACTCGGGTCGTGTTGTGGCCTATGCACAACGTTTGCCAACCAGTAGCTACGAGTCATGGGTAACTGCACACGATGAGTGGGCGTTGCGAAATAAGCGGGAGGATCAACATAAGCGGGTATATGGAAACCTAACAGCTAATTGGGCAAATTGGTTGTCACTCAAGAACGTTTCGCGTGGCTGCTTCCTTGTAGCATTTTAGCTAACCTTTGCATGGTCAATCCGACGTCTGCATTGGTCAAGCAGCATTTACGGGGTGATATGGCCTCTGCAGAAGTCAGGGCATTCATGCGCTTCGCCGAACAGCGCAGACAAAGATTGTTATAAGTAAACCAAGATAGACCACAGCCCGTCGTTTCAAATGGGAACAAATGAGTCATAGTGGGCAAAACAAGCAAGGAGGTGGGAAGAGCCAAGCACGAGCTAGCGAGATCCTATTGGCGTGTTCCAGCATCATTTGCATATATCTGTTAGGGAACGCCTACTCTGAAGTGCGCATGTGCAACTCAATTAGCCTTTTAATTCCTTCTAAACAGCGCTTTTTTTTTTTTACTTTGGCAAAGGATAAAGTCTACAAAACTTACTCCACTCTGTTCGTAACAGATTATAGTTTTGGGAACAGAAAACTGTATTGAGATAAAATATTTAATTGACCAAAATCTATCTCGTTCCATCTATTCCCATCTTCTCCCACTGCCGGCCACTGGGCTTGTAGTGAGTGGAAACGCCAAGCGGATGCCTCACATTTATACATCCGGTGAAATATCTGTCTCATTGTTCTATCTATGGCGCAGAGCTGTTGTGAAGGAATTCTTCTTCTTCTTCTTCTTCTTTTATGCTATATTGGCGATCACACCTACTGTGCGGGATGTAAACAGGATTCCCCAAAATGGAACAAAATACCAAAAAAACTACCAAACTACCAAATCATTTAATAATAAACTAAACTAAATCAAACAACTTTTATGTTAAAAAAATAAAACAGATCTGATCCCTAAACAGGCTCAAGGGGAACCTGGGAGGGCGGGTCTTCCGGCGCCAGTACATTTGACATTTTAGCAGACGCTCTTATCCAGAGCGACTTACAGTTAGTGAGTGCATACATTTTCATTCATTTATTTTCATACTGGCCCCCCGTGGGAATCGAACCCACAACCCTGGCGTTGCAAGCGCCATGCTCTACCAACTGAGCTACACAGTACCCCTTGCAAGTCTTCAGATGTAAAATCCTTAAGTTCCAAAAACTTTTCTGCCCAAACCACAACAATGTACAGTTTCTTAGACTTCTTTGAGACTTGTGCCGTACAGTTTATAACTGTGGCAATGAACGCCACAAAATCCACAATGTTAACACACAGGGTATCTTTTGACTGGCAGCAAACATTTACTACAGGCTGTGGTGCGTCCGCTACCATATCTTCACTAGCATCACTTGTTTTCTCAATTATTTTAATCGCCTCCGCATAGGAAATTCGATTGACCGCTCTATCTTTTGGCACCTCAATCTCCTTCGGCCTTACAGGGCACTCCAGGAACTCGGGATCATAATCCACACCACAATTGCAACACCGTAGTCCTTCTACACACCATTCTTCAATATAATCTGTCTGTCTGCACACACTTGAAACATAGCCAAATCCTTTACAATTCTTACACTGCAATGGTTTGAGGACGAAAGCTCTTACAGCGTGTCTTACATAACCAAGCTTCACATGCGTAGATTTGCTCTTTAGCAAAAAACTACAGAACCGACAGACTTTCTTCTTTTTCTCCATTCACCCAGCGGGTCAGGCGCCGGGCACCAAGAACACCAGGAATTTTTTCTTCAGGTATTCAACCTGAACATCCGTCGTCACCTGAGATGACTCCTTTGACGGGTGCTCTACTCCGAAGTTCAAAACACAAAACTTCTGTTGTCTGGATTCTTTTGAGGCTCATTGCAATCTTCCTCTAATCTTCAGAAATACATTGAATCAAAATAAGACCACTCCTGGTCACTCTGACAGACTCCACTTCACCATCTTCGACACCTCAAACGGGTTTCCCACATATTCATCCTTACTTAACAAGAAGTGATTCATTGTCATTCATACACGTATCCTCCACTCCAATTTTAGACAATTTCCTTTTGGTTCCTGTTTTCGCTGCTACTGTTGTCCATTCAGAACATTCGTCACCACCAACTTTGCTCGACTCGCTGTTTTATTCGAATTCAGCATCCACTTCCGCCATCTCCCCCCCCCCAAGGAAGTTGTCAAGGAAGTGAGTTTGTGTTTGTACAGAACCTCCTGCCCTCACCTACCGTCAACCAATCATGTCAATGCGGAGCTATACAGCGCCACCGCATTGTTATACTATTTGAAAGGTGCACGGCAAAGCGGTATGGAGCTTGATTTGGCCTCTGCATGCCTCCGTAGGCTCCGAAATTGCGTCACACCCTCCATAGGAAGCCTCCCACCACATTTTCGGATCAAGCATAAATTGCCTTTAAACCTAACCCTTTTCCTAACCTTAACCTCATTCTCCCAACGTGCTAGACTAGTTCTTCTAAACCTGCCACGTTAATTATCCTAACCTGCCAAGGTAATTATCCTAACCGCCCACGTTATTATCCTAACCTGCCTAACCAGTTTAGCTAAAACACTATAAGGAAGCAGCAAGCAGCCAGGCAAAATGATCTTGAATGGCAACCAATCTGCCTAATTAGCTGTTAGGTTTCCATATACCTGCTTATGTTGATCCTCCCACTTATTTAGCAATGCTCACTTTCAGACACTCAATATATGCAGGTACCCATACTTGGCCAGTACAGCTCACACTGTCCCTCTGATTTCCTAGACCAGAGCTATTCACAGTGAAAACAAGTGGTGTGATTCTTGGATATGGTGAAATGTGTTTGAACACTTGCATCTCACCTAACTTCCATCCTTCTTTGAAGTATGCACTGCTGTACTATAAAGTAAGTAAGTAAGTAAGTAGCCTTGCATGAGCCTACAGTGCCTTGCAAAAGTATTCATCCCCCTTGGCGTTTTTCCTATTTTGTTGCATTACAACCTGTAATTTAAATGGATTTTTTATTTGGATTTGATGTAATGGACATACACAAAATAGTGAAATTGGTGAAGTGAAATGATCAGTATATATACACCTGTTCTGGAAGGCCCCAGAGTCTGCAACACCACTAAGCAAGGGGCACCACCAAGCAAGCTGTACCATGAAGACCAAGGAGCTCTCCAAACAGGTCAGGGACAAAGTTGTGGAGAACTACAGATCAGGGTTGGGTTATTAAAAAATACCAGAAACTTTGAACGTCCCACGGAGCACCATTAAATCCATTGTAAAAAAATTGAAAGAATATGGCACCACAACAAACCTGCCAAGAGAGGGCCGCCCACCCAAAACTCATGGACCAGGCAAGGAGGGCATTAATCAGAGAGGCACCAAAGATAACCCAGAAGGAGCTGCAAAGCTCCACAGCGGAGATTGGAGTATCTGTCCATAGGACCACTTTAAGCCACACACTCCACAGAGCTGGGCTTTACGGAAGAGTGGCCAGAAAAAAGCCATTGCTTAAAGAAAAAAATAAGCAAACACATTTGGTGTTTGCCAAAAGGCATGTGGGAGACTCCCCAAACATATGGTAGAAGGTACTCTGGTCAAATGAGACTAAAATTGAGCTTTTTGGCCATCAAGGAAAACGCTATGTCTGGTGCAAACCCAACACCTCTCATCAGCGGAACCATCCAACTTGAAGGAGCTGGAGCAGTTTTGCCTTGAAGAATGGGCAAACATCCCAGTGGCTAGATGTGCCAAGCTTATAGAGACATACCCCAAGAGACTTGCAGCTGTAATTGCTGCAAAAGGTGGCTCTACAAAGTATTGACTTTGGGGGGGTGAATAGTTATGCACGCTCAAGTTTTCTGTTTCTTTGTCTTATTTCTTGTCTGTTTCACAATAAAAAAATATTTTGCATCTTCAAAGTGGTAGGCATGTTGTGTAAATCAAACGATACAACCCCCCCCCCCCCAAATATCCATTTAAATTCCAGGTTGTAAGGCAACAAAATAGGAAAAATGCTAAGGGGGGTGAATACTTTCGCAAGCCACTGTATCTCCTGTTTTCTGAAGCGTGAGGCAGCTTGATGTGTACTCCCGTTGGACAGAACACTAGTCTATCGCAGGGCCTTACCCACAATCCATTGCTGAGTGCGAAGCAGAGACGCATCTGGTCCCATTTTTACAGTCTTTGGTATGACTTGGCTAGGGATCGAACTCCTAACATTCCAATCTCAGGCTGGACACGCAAGAAGTATTCAAACCGGGCCAATATGTGCTTTGTGTAGCCTGCCTGTCTATACATACTTACCTCCCCCTCTTTTCTTTCCCCACAGATGGCCCCCTCCCTCTCTCCTCTCTGAGACTCCTGGTGCCACCGCTGCGTCTGATGTCAGCGGTCATGTGGCAGGTGGTGGAGCGGCGGAGTTTGGAGCATTATGGGAAGCTGGAGGACTTTGTGTGTTTGGTCACAGAGGCAGTTCCAGAACTACTGACTGACAGGCAGAGAGCAGTACTGCTTCTGGGCCTCAGAGCAAAGGTGTGTGTGTGCATGCGTTTCTTCAACAAAAAAAACGTTTGTACTTTTTGCCCCTTTTTCTCCCCAATTTGTAGTTACAGTCTTGTCCCATCTCTGCAACTCCCGTATGGACTCGGGAGAGGCGAAAGTCGAGAGCCATGCGTCCTCCGAAACATGACCCCGCCAAGCCGCACTGCTCGCTTAACCCGGAAGCCAGCCGCACCAATGTGTCGGAGGAAACACGTATAGCTGGCGACTGAAGTCAGCGTGCATGCGCCCGGCCTCCACAAGGAGTTGCTAGAGCGCGATGGGACAAGGACATCCCAGCCAGCCAACATTCTCCCCTAACCCAGAAGACGCTGGGCCAATTGTGCGCCACCTCATGGTTCTCCCGGTCGCGGCCGGCTGCGACACAGCCCGGGATCGAACCCGGATGTGTAGTGACGCCTCTAGCACTGCGATGTAGTGCCTTAAACCGCTGCGCCACTCTGGAGGCCACATGCATTTCTTCTAGCAGTAACCTACACAGTATTTTCCATGTGCTGCAAATCAGAAGTTCACCTCTGTGCCTTGCAAATCTGTGCCTTGAGTAATTTTAAACGGACCTCCCGATCGGTCCGTGTTGCAGATGTCCCAGGAGTGGATAGGTGAGAACGTCGCCCCAGACCTCATCCAGACTCACCTGGACAGGATCCAGTCCATCTGTCTGACACAGGTGAGAGAGGGGGCTCATGGGAACTGGAGTTTTACACCTGCCTTTTACTGAACGTATAGAGTGAAAGGGTGGAGTAAAGGGAGGAAACCGAGTGGCAGAATGGGGACACCGAGTGCTGAGAGGGATGCTTTGGCCCTGACACACGCTAAGGTATGTGTCTGTTGTTTTTACAGTCCAGTGACAAGGCCTTCGAGGATGCCAAAGCCAGGCTCATGGCGTACACTCGGAGGAGTCCAGGAGATCGATGGGCTGTAAGAAAATGACTCTTTCGTCACTTGAGTAACATGCAATCTACTAATCTCTGGGTTCAGTGAAGAATTGTTCTCTCTCTCTCTCTCTCTCTCTCTCTCTCTCTCTCTCTCTCTCTCTCTCTCTCTCTCTCTCTCTCTCTCTCTCTCTCTCTCTCTCTCTCTCTCAGTTTGGTCAATACTTTAATGCAGAGCTGGAGTCTCTGGTGTGTGTGTTCCTCTCCAGGCTGGAGGAGCTGCTGCCAGTACCAGACTTTAAACAGGTACACAGTTACCGGCGACCACATGTCAACCCCAACTTCACCACTAAGAGACTACACAGGCTACATATTGACCACATTTATCAACCACACTTTGACCACCACACATCGACTGCATTCATCAACCACACATCTCCCCCCCCCCCCCTGTGTTCCCCAGGCTGCCTCCTGGCTCGACTCTGTCCCCGGTGGTGTGGATGAATGTCTGCAGTCTGTCCCCCACAGTGACGGGCTGAGGTCTGTACTGCAGAGCCAGATGTGCTGCCGGGAACACCTGGTAAATAGAGGTACGTCACCAGGTACGTCTGTAGTCTCAGTTGTTTTAGCAGTTTAGTAAAAAATGTATTTAAATAGTTTACAACTGTGTTTCTCGCTTGTCTTGTGCAGACTCCAGCCCATCCCAGACCAACCTCCTCAGCTCTCTACCTGTTTGCCTTCCAAATATGATGGTGTACCATCCATCTGCCGACTCTGACAGCGAGTCAGAACCCTTCCCCAAGGAAAGGATGGATGAAGAGAGAGGAGAAGAACAGGAGACGGTCTGCGTCAAACGAGAGGACGATGAGAAATCGAGAGTAGCCGAGCTGATTGGTCAAGACCAGGGATCAGCCAATAGATTGGCAGGAGAAACGGAAACATCCGACCTAGGGATTCTGGGTTTCATTGTTCAGAGCCAATCTATAATGATTATCCCCCAGCCGGACCAGCCCTCTCTTGCTGTCGTCTCCCAGTCTGCACCCACTCTCACCCTGCCTGTGGCCTGCAGGGGGCAGACTGCAGTCAACTCTCCCTCAGGACAGAGCAGGCCCTCACCAGAGAGAAAAACTGTTCCTGTGAGCAGCCAAAAGCCCCAGGCTTCACCGGGGAGGTAAGTGTGGTCAGCGTGTGTGTGTGTGTGTGTTAGGAATGCTGTAGCGTGACAGTAAGTATGGACAGATTGTATCAGCATGGGTGTTTTGAATGGTAAGTGTGTGTGTGTGTGTGTTAGTGTGACAATTGGTGTGGACAGAGTATGTGTGGGTGTTTAGAAAGTGTGTTTGTACAGTGTGTGGCCCACACCACACTGAGGAGGAAAGTGTGTGTGTGTGTGTTAGGAATGCAGTAGCGTGACAGCAAGTATGGACAGATTGTATCTTCTTGTTTGTTTTGACTGTACAGTATTTGAACAGTGACAAAAGGCGAACTGTGTGTGAGTGAGTATTGAGTAAATGATGAATGATTAACATGACATGTTCTTTTCCCCCCTCAGCATCATCCCTGAGTCGTCTGATAAGCCTGTAGAATGTATTATGGTGGAGAGTGACACAGGTGAGTGTCTTATACCCTCCTAACCACCTGCAGCTCACAGGAGACTGCTGAGGGGAGGACGGCTCATAATAATGACCGGAACGGAGCAAATGGAATGGCATCAAACACCTGGAAACCATGTGTTTGTTGTGTTTGATACCATTCCACCAATTCCACTCCAGTCATTACCACGAGCCCATCCTCCCCAATTAAGGTGCCACCAACCTCCTGTGCTGCAGCTCCCTATCAGGTGTTTTGTCCTCCATCACAAATTCAATTTCCCAACATCCTCTCTGCTTATCCTCTTGTGTGCCTTTTAAAAATTGATGTAGTTCTGTCCTTGAGCTGTTCTTGTCTATTAATGTTCTGTATTATGTCATGTTTTATGTTTTGTGTGGACCCCAGGAAGAGTAGCTGCTGCTTTTGCACCAACTAATGGGGATCCTAATAAAACACAACATACAGTGGGGAAAAAAAGTATTTAGTCAGCCACCAATTGTGCAAGTTCTCCCACTTAAAAAGATGAGAGCGGCCTGTAATTTTCATCATAGGTACACGTCAACTATGACAGACAAATTGAGGAAAAAAAATCCAGAAAATCACATTGTAGGATTTTTTATGAATTTATTTGCAAATTATGGTGGAAAATAAGTATTTGGTCACCTACAAACAAGCAAGATTTCTGGCTCTCACAGACCTGTAACAACTTCTTTAAGAGGCTCCTCTGTCCTCCACTCGTTACCTGTATTAATGGCACCTGTTTGAACTTGTTATCAGTATAAACGACACCTGTCCACAATCTCAAACAGTCACACTCCAAACTCCACTATGGCCAAGACCAAAGAGCTGTCAAAGGACACCAGAAACAAAATTGTAGACCTGCACCAGGCTGGGAAGACTGAATCTGCAATAGGTAAGCAGCTTGGTTTGAAGAAATCAACTGTGGGAGCAATTATTAGGAAATGGAAGACATACAAGACCACTGATAATCTCCCTCGATCTGGGGCTCCACGCAAGATCTCACCCCGTGGGGTCAAAATGATCACAAGAACGGTGAGCAAAAATCCCAGAACCACACGGGGGGACCTAGTGAATGACCTGCAGAGAGCTGGGACCAAAGTAATAAAGCCTACCATCAGTAACACACTACGCCGCCAGGGACTCAAATCCTGCAGTGCAAGACGTGTCCCCCTGCTTAAGCCAGTACATGTCCAGGCCCGTCTGAAGTTTGCTAGAGTGCATTTGGATGATCCAGAAGAGGATTGGGAGAATGTCATATGGTCAGATGAAACCAAAATAGAACTTTTTGGTAAAAACTCAACTCGTCGTGTTTGGAGGACAAAGAATGCTGAGTTGCATCCAAAGAACACCATACCTACTGTGAAGCATGGGGGTGGAAACATCATGCTTTGGGGCTGTTTTTCTGCAAAGGGACCAGGACGACTGATCCGTGTAAAGGAAAGAATGAATGGGGCCATGTATCGTGAGATTTTGAGTGAAAACCTCCTTCCATCAGCAAGGGCATTGAAGATGAAACGTGGCTGGGTCTTTCAGCATGACAATGATCCCAAACACACCGCCCGGGCAACGAAGGAGTGGCTTCGTAAGAAGCATTTCAAGGTCCTGGAGTGGCCTAGCCAGTCTCCAGATCTCAACCCCATAGAAAATCTTTGGAGGGAGTTGAAAGTCCGTGTTGCCCAGCGACAGCCCCAAAACATCACTGCTCTAGAGGAGATCTGCATGGAGGAATGGGCCAAAATACCAGCAACAGTGTGTGAAAACCTTGTGAAGACTTACAGAAAACGTTTGACCTGTGTCATTGCCAACAAAGGGTATATAACAAAGTATTGAGAAACTTTTGTTGTTGACCAAATACTTATTTTCCACCATAATTTGCAAATAAATTCATTAAAAATCCTACAATGTGATTTACTGGATTTCTTTTCTCATTTTGTCTGTCATAGTTGACGTGTACCTATGATGAAAATTACAGGCCTCTCTCATCTTTTTAAGTGGGAGAACTTGCACAATTGGTGGCTGACTAAATACTTTTTCCCCCCACTGTACCTCTCACCTTCTCTTCCTGTTTCCTCACAGACAGCCCCACAGGTGAGTCCTCGTCTTCCGAGACGCACCCCTCTAGCGTATCCCACAATCCCCGGCGTGTTGCCCACAAGTGCCCGACGTGCGGGAAGTGTTTCATCTACCGCTCCCAGGTGCTGCGTCACCTGACCACACACTCACGAGGCGGCCGCTACAAATGCTCCAAGTGTGGCATTGGCTTCCCAACGCCCTGGAGCCTGAACGACCACAAGCGCTCTGTGTGTGTCAACGCCACTTTCGACTGCCCCCAGTGCGGGAAGGGGTTTGCGTCGCTCCGTGAGCAGTACCGTCACCGCCTCACCCACAAGACCAACACCTGTTTTCAATGTGGGGTGGGCTTTAGGACCCAGCTGGAACTGACCCGACACCACAAGACCCACTGGGCCCAGCCGCTGCACCAGTGCTGCCTGTGCGGCAAACGCTTCCGCCTCCTCTCCAGCCTGACCAATCACAAGCAGACTCACTCGTCCGGTGGTGGCTTCGCCTGCACCCAGTGTGAGCGTGTGTTCGGCTCGGCGAAGGAGCGCGACGCCCACCGGCAGATGCACCGCGTACCCAAGCTTATCTGCCCTGTCTGCGGCGAGACGTTCACCTCGCAGGCCAAACTAATCAAACACCAGCAGACCCATCCGGCCCCCGAGGGGAGCGAGGGGCCGAGGTACAAATGCCGTTACTGTGAGGATACGTTTACAGGCCTGACTCTCATGAGGATCCACCAGAGAAGCCATCTTGTGGACAGACCTCATCAATGTGACCAGTGTGAGAAGAGCTTCACTACTCTGGGGTCCCTCCAGTCCCACCTCAGAACCCACTCGGAGGAGAAGCCCTTCCTCTGCGCCCGCTGCGGCAAACGCTTCCGGACCAAAGACGGCATGGAGGGACACCTCCGGATCCACACTGGCGAGAAGCCCTTCCACTGCTCCTACTGCGGGAAACGCTTTACGGCGCTTGCCGGGTTGAATGTGCACGTACGGCGGCACACGGGCGAGAGGCCGTACGTGTGTGAGGTGTGCGGCAAGGCATGGCCCTCAGGTGGGGACCTGCAGAAACACATGCGCTGTCACACAGGGGAGAGACCTTACAGCTGTGTTGACTGTGGGAAGACATTCTCCATATCCTGTCACCTGACAGAACACATGAAGACACACTCAGGTCAGGACCAGGAGCATGTAGTTAAAGGGATAGTTGGGGATTTTGGTAATGAGGCCCTTTATCTACTTCCCCAGAGTCAGATGAAGTCGTGGATACCGTTTTTATGTCTCTGCGTGCAGTTTGAAGGAAGTTGCTAACTAGCGCTATCGCAATTGCTAACTAGTTTTAACGCAGTGAGTGGAAGTCTATGGGTATGCTCTAGCATGCTAGTAGATACCCATAGACTTCCAGTCATTTCACTAATGCTAGTTAGCATTGGCTCACAAAACTATCTCTAACTTCCTTCATACTGAACACAGAGACATAACAATGGTATCCACGAGTTCATCTGACTCTGGGGAAGTACAGTGCATTAGGAAAGTATTCAGACCCCTTCCCCTTTTCCACATTTTGTTACGTTACAGCCTTATTCTAAAAGGGATTACATTATTTTTTCTTCTTCATCAATCTACACACATTACCCCATTTATGATAAAGCGAAAACTGATTTTTATTTATTTTGGGAAATGTCTTAAAAATAAATAACAGAAATACCTTGAGACTCGAAATTGAGCTCAGGTGCATCCTGTTTCCATTGATCATCCTTGAGATGTTTCTACAACTTGATTGGAGTCCACCTGTGGTAAATTCAATTGATTGGACATGATTTGGAAAGGCACACACCTGTCTATATAAGGTCCCACAGTTGACAGTGCATGTCAGAGCAAAAACCAAGCCATGAGGTTGAAGGAATTGTCCGTAGAGCTCTGAGACAGGATTGTGTAGAGGCACAGATCTGGGAAAGGGTACCAAAACATTTCTGCAGCATTGAAGGTCCCCAAGAACACAGTGGCCTCCATCATTCTTAAATGGAAGAAGTTTGGAACCACCAAGACTCTTCCTAGAGCTGGCTGCCCAGCCAAACTGAGCAATCGGGGGAGAAGGGCCTTAGTCAGGGAGGTGACCAAGAACCCGATGGTCATTCTGACAGAGCTCCAGAGTTCCTCTGTGGAGATGGGAGAACCTTCCAGAAGGACAACCATCTCTGCAGCACTCCACCAATCAGGCCTTTATGGTAGAGTGGCCAGATGGAAGCCACTCCTCAGTAAAAGGCACATGACATCCCACTTGGAGTTTGCCAAAAGGCACCTAAAGGACTCTCAGACCATGAGAAACAAGATTCTCTGGTCTGATGAAACCAAGATTGAACTCTTTGGTCAGAATGTCAAGCGTCACATCTGGAGGAAACCAGGCACCATCCCTACGGTGAAGCATGGTGTTCGCAGCATCGTGCTGTGGGGATGTTTTTCAGCAACAGGGACTGGGAGACTAGTCGGGATCGAGGGAAAGATGAATAAAGCAAAGTACAGAGAGATCCTTGATGAAAGCCTGCTCCAGAGTGCTCAGGACCTCATACTGGGGCGAACTTTCACCTTCCAACAGGACAGCGACCCTAAGCACACAGCCAAGACAACGCAGGAGTGGCTTCGGGACAAGTCTCTGAATGTCCTTAAGTGGCCCAGCCAGAGCCCAGACTTGAACCCAATCGAACATCTCTGGAGAGACCTGAAAATAGCTCTGCAGCAATGCTCCCCATCCAACCTGACAGACTCGATGCTGTAATCGCTGCCAAAGGTGCTTCAACAAAGTACTGAGTAAAGGGTCTGAATACTTATGCAAATGTGATATTTCAGTAGTTTTTGTTTTATAAATGTGTAAAAATGTCTACAAACCTGTTTTTGCTTTGTCATTATGACAGCCAAATGAACACACCCTGGCTCAAAATACACAGTCCCGGAGCCAGAGCGTGACAGTACCCCCCCCTAAAGGCGCGGACTCCGACCGCGCCTACACCCCAAATAGGGAAGGGCTGGGTGGGTATTGCTCCTCGGAGGCGGCTCCGGCTCCGGGCTTGACCACCACCCTACTACAATCCCCCCGTAGTGCCCCCAGTCCGATCTGACCCAGCTAGCTGGATCAGGACTGCCGACGCGCACCCCTGGCTTGGCGCGTGAGGCAGGAATGGACCGGACCTGGCAGACGATACGCACCCTTTGCATGGTGCGTGGAGCCGGAACAGGCCTCACCAGGCTGAAGACTCGCATCCCTGGCTTGGTGCGAGTAGCAGGAATGGGCTGAATCCGGCTGACGACTCGCACCCTTGGCTTGGTGCGAGTAGCAGGAATGGGCTGAATCCGGCTGACGACTCGCACCCTTGGCTTGGTGCGAGTAGCAGGAATGGGCTGAATCCGGCTGACGACTCGCACCCTTGGCTTGGTGCGAGTAGCAGGAATGGGCTGAATCCGGCTGACGACTCGCACCCTTGGCTTGGTGCGAGTAGCAGGAATGGGCTGAATCCGGCTGACGACTCGCACCCTTGACTTGGTACGAGTGGCAGGAATGGGCCGGACTGGGCTGGCGACGTGCACCACAGACCTGGTGCGGAGAGCAGGAACGGGCAGAGCCGGGCTGACGAGACGCACCACAGGCTTGATGCGGAGAGCAGGCACGGGCCGTGCCGGACTGACGACGCACACCACTGGCTTGGTGCGGGAAGCTTGGATGGGCCGGACTGTACTGGGGACACACACCACTGGTCCTACACCGGGATCTGGAACGGGCCGGACCGGACTGGCAACACACGCCAGTACCTCTCGCCGTGCCTCTACTTCCTCCATCCCCTCTTCGACCAGTGGCCCCCGTAACCCGGCGGCCTTCTCCGGCAACCCACTGGGCCGCTCTATCGCGGCCTCCCGCTGGTCCGACGTCGTGAGCCCCCCCCTAAAAATTTTCGGGGCGTCTCTCCTACCCGTGGACCAGGTCTCCATGTCCCTCGCCAGCCTCTCGCCCTTCTGCCATAATGTCAAGCCCTTCTCTTCCTCACTCGGCTTGACCCAGTCCAGGAGGCGAAGGAGATCTGTGAGGGATCTCCCTGGCGATGGCTCCTGGACACGCTGCTTGGTCCCATCTTGGTGGGTTTTTCTGTCACGATCGTCTTCAAAAGGAGCAGACCAATACGCAGCGCGTTGAGCGAACATGACTTTATTAAATTAACGTACTCACTACAAAAACAACAAACAATGACGAAACGTGAAGTCCTCCGTTACAATGACTGACAAGGAACAAAAACCCACAACACTAAGGTGAACACTGACAGTTTAAATATGGCTCCCAATCAGAGATAACGAGCCGACAGCTGACACTCGTTACCACTGATTGGGAGTCACACGACCAAACAATGAAACACAACCAAATACAACACAACCAAATGAACACACCCTGGCTCAAAATACACAGTCCCGGAGCCAGAGCGTGACAATTATGGGGTACTGTGTGTAGATTAATGAGGAAAAAACACAATTTAATCAATTTTAGAATACGGCTGTAAAGTAACAAAATGTGGAAAAAGTCAAGGGGTCTGAATACTTTCCCAATGCACTGTAGATACAGGCCCAACATCCCGAAGTATCCCTTTAAGGGGGCCGTTGATATACAACTATTTGGTGTCTATGGATGATGATACACTGTCGTTGTCATTTGTCCAAGAATATGTGATGCAGGACATATGCAGTACGTTTATACATTTGTGATCGATAATAATAAAACAAATGATTTAATCGTAGTTCTTCTGTGTAATCTGAAATAACTAATCTGAAGTAACCTTGATTTATAGTCCTAATCTAAATACTGTCCCGTCCCTCAGGTGAGAAGCCGTTCTCTTGTCCAGAGTGTGGGAAGAGCCTGAAGAGGAAGTTTGATCTGAAGAAGCACCTGTTGACCCACTCTGGGGTGCGTCCGTACCCCTGCCCTCACTGTGACAAGAGCTACACCCGCCGCACACACCTCAACAGGCACCTACAGAAACACTCGGCTGAGCTGTTAACAGCAGCATTGTAGCCAGCATCAACAATTGCCCATGGATGGACATCTCAATAGAATTCTGCCCTTGAAATAACAATGGGCTCCCATCACCAAGATTCTGAATTGGAATTCAATGACTTCCAGAGACTAGAGCAGCAGAACGTTCTGCCTACAGATGGGAGGGGGAAGCAGTCTCCCTGCTGGTTGAGGTAGATTGACAGAGATCATGTGACTTTTCCTGATTCATCTTGAGTTAATCAAGAATATGATTTGTGTGTGGTATCACTGTAGTATATTGTTATCGAATAGACCTAAAGCCATTTCTGTCTCCTGATTTTCTACGTCGTGCCAAACACAACGTCGCGGCCTCACGTTTCTTGGTGAAACAGTTCATTATAAAATTGTTGATTGATGGGTAACTTTTAACTTAATAATGCCTCTTCAATTTATGTCCTGTCTGTAATTCAGTTGAATATTTGCTTCTCTGCATTGATAAAACCCTTCCTAAATTATACCAGTGTGTTGGCATTCTTCTTAATAATAATATGCCATTTAGCAGACGCTTTTATCCAAAGCGACTTACAGTCATGCGTGCATACATTTTTTTTTTATATATATTTTTTTGTGTGTATGGGTGGTCCCGGGGATCGAACCCACTACCTTGGCGTTACAAGCGCCGTGCTCTACCAGCTGAGCTACAGAGGACCACACTTATGACAGCTGGTGGTTATAATATACCCTTACAAAGGAATGATGTCAGGCAGCATAGTTATATCAAATGCACTGGAGATCAATTGTATTTATTGTTAACAAATTTGGTGATAATTCATGAATAATCCTATATTTACATTCCAAAAGAGATCAATTAAACAAATTACAAATCTAAATATTGTACTAACATTTCATCTCATCTCCACGGGACAGTATATAATTGAGATTGGTACTAAAGAAAAGTATGCAAAAATATGCAGGAAATCAATGACATAACCATAGATATTTAGCATACTCAATGACACATGATATGCCTTAATTATTTGTGACACCAGCCAACTCATGGTTAATTTTCATTTATTTATAAAGTAAATGAAAAGACATTTAAAATTAATAAAATATAATAAGGCAATACACCCATGCTCCTACCATCCCATAATATATGTTACTATGTGGTCAAGCCCTAGATACATTACACTGTTACTATGTGGTCAACCCCTAGATACATTACACTGTTACTATGTGGTCAACCCCTAGATATATTACACTGTTACTATGTGGTCAACCCCTAGATACATTACACTGTTACTATGTGGTCAACCCCTAGATACATTACACTGTTACTATGTGGTCAACCCCTAGATACATTACACTGTTACTATGTGGTCAACCCCTAGATATATTACACTGTTATTATGTGGTCAACCCCTAGATACATTACACTGTTACTATGTGGTCAAGCCCTAGATACATTACACTGTTACTATGTGGTCAACCCCTAGATACATTACACTGTTACTATGTGGTCAACCCCTGGATACATTACACTGTTACTATGTGGTCAACCCCTGGATACATTACACTGTTACTATGTGGTCAACCCCTAGATACATTACACTGTTACTATGTGGTCAACCCCTAGACACATTACACTGTTACTATGTGGTCAAGCCCTAGATACATTACACTGTTACTATGTGGTCAAGCCCTAGATACATTACACTGTTACTATGTGGTCAAGCCCTAGATACATTACACTGTTACTACACATTACTAAGAACAGTTATACCTATTTAGAAACAAGACTTAACGCTAAATTACTAAAGATCTATTAGTTATCCCTTAACCCCTTACTTGAAGACATATCATTGCAATGCTGCAACTACTTACTCTACAATACAAATATTCACACCTTAGTTTTCATACAATGCACATTCCAGCTCAAGGTGTTTCACACTGGCATTACAGGTGAGTCGACCTGTGACTTAACCCAAAGTGGTATAATTGACACCTTCAGGTGAAAACCTGTCATTCCTTAAAGCGGCAATCAGCAGTTGAAACAAGAACAAAGTGTACTCCCCGCCCAATTCGGTAAAAAGCTGAGGGGTGGGGCTGGAGAAATGTTACCACTCTCAAATTCATTGACACAGCTATGGATGTAAGGACTGACCATCCATGATATCAACATTATAGTTTTAACCATATTTTGAATGTTTGTTTACATTTTGGGTTCTGATGGGGTATGACAGTTGAACTAAGGTCATGAGGCATTTATAAGTTATATTCTCCAAGAATCAATGGGTACATATTAATTAATTTATAAGTCCAAAAATGGATGTAGCAACTGCAGATTGCCCCTTTAAGGTAGAAGATAACATGGTTACCTCAAAATACACTACACTGTAGCGAACAACATTCACTGTTTCATTGAAACAACTGACATCTGCCATACATACGATGGCAAATGATTTCTACATAGAATGGACTGTCTGACTGACAGTGTTTCTGGACAGTAGATCCCATCCTGCACCCTACTGGGCAGCAGACTGGGCCTGGTAGCCTTTCCCCTTCAGGATACGCAGCACCTAAGGGAAACAATCAATCAGAGGTACATTATTGCAAAACAGTCCCATCTTGTTGAAGCGTGTGTGTGTGTGTGTGTGTGTGTTGAATGTCTGCCAGTCTAACACTTGAACTCTTGTGTATTCTTCATGTTCTGTTTTTACTGTGTCTCTGTGTTTGCGTATTAACCAGGCCTTAATAGTAAGTGACAAAAGGTTCTCAATCGACTTGCCTCGTTAAAGAATGATTACATTATAATAAAACAATGACATGGGAATATTCACCTGAAAGATAGATACCAGAACACTTAAATGCTCACACAGCGGGAGGGTTCAACCGTGTGCTGGTATCTTATATTATTTCCAGGCAATGGCATCATTTTATTTTTTATAATGTAGAATCATGCTGTACTTTTTGTACCCTGCACCTGCAAGTTCCTGGATGTGCTTACACTACACTCTTAGAAAAAAGGGTGCTATCTAGAACCTAAAAGGGTTCTTCGGCTGTCCCCATAGGAGAACCCTTTGAAGAACCCTTTTTGGTTCCAGGTAGAACCCTTTTGGGTTCCATGTAGAGCCCTTTCTACAGAGGGTTCTACATGGAACCCAAAAGGGTTCTGTCTGGAACCAAAAAGGGTTCTCCTATGGGGACAGCCGAATAACCCTTTTGGGGCATTATTCACCTGGTCTCCGACGGGCCCTTCAGGCACCAGCTGGGCAGGCTGCTCATTCTCCAGGTTCTTGTAGCTGGGGTCGGCCCCTCTCCTCATCAGCAGCTTCACAGCATCCACCTGAGTCACCCGACCATGCACAGAACTGGCAAAGTGCAGTGCTGTGTTTCCACTGAATGCCTGGTTGAGACAGAACTCATGTTAGAGGGTTTAGTTAACTTACCTCCTGATGACCAAGAACAATGAAAACACTTTGTTTGTCAACTCAGAATTTGAGCCAGCACGCTGATTGGTTATCATATAAGTTTGTTTTCCAGAGAGGCGAGACCTCACCTTGACATTAGGTACTGTAGCAGTATCTCACCTTGACATTAGGTACTGTAGCTGTATCTCACCTTGACATTAGGTACTGTAGCAGTATCTCACCTTGACATTAGGTACTGTAGCTGTATCTCACCTTGACATTAGGTCCTGTAGCTGTATCTCACCTTGACATTAGGTACTGTAGCAGTATCTCACCTTGACATTAGGTACTGTAGCAGTATCTCACCTTGACATTAGGTACTGTAACAGTATCTCACCTTGACATTAGGTACTGTAGCAGTATCTCACCTTGACATTAGGTACTGTAGCAGTATCTCACCTTGACATTAGGTACTGTAGCTGTATCTCACCTTGACATTAGGTACTGTAGCAGTATCTCACCTTGACATTAGGTACTGTAGCAGTATCTCACCTTGACATTAGGTACTGTAGCAGTTTCTCACCTTGACATTAGGTACTGTAGCAGTATCTCACCTTGACATTAGGTACTGTAGCAGTATCTCACCTTGACATTAGGTACTGTAGCAGTATCTCACCTTGACATTAGGTACTGTAGCTGTATCTCACCTTGACATTAGGTACTGTAGCTGTATCTCACCTTGACATTAGGTACTGTAGCAGTATCTCACCTTGACATTAGGTACTGTAGCAGTATCTCACCTTGACATTAGGTACTGTAACAGTATCTCACCTTGACATTAGGTACTGTAGCAGTATCTCACCTTGACATTAGGTACTGTAGCAGTATCTCACCTTGACATTAGGTACTGTAGCTGTATCTCACCTTGACATTAGGTACTGTAGCAGTATCTCACCTTGACATTAGGTACTGTAGCAGTATCTCACCTTGACATTAGGTTACTGTAGCAGTTTCTCACCTTGACATTAGGTACTGTAGCAGTATCTCACCTTGACATTAGGTACTGTAGCAGTATCTCACCTTGACATTAGGTACTGTAGCAGTATCTCACCTTGACATTAGGTACTGTAGCAGTATCTCACCTTGACATTAGGTACTGTAGCAGTATCTCACCTTGACATTAGGTACTGTAACAGTATCTCACCTTGACATTAGGTACTGTAGCAGTATCTCACCTTGACATTAGGTACTGTAGCAGTATCTCACCTTGACATTAGGTACTGAAGCAGTATCTCACCTTGACATTGACAATAGAAAGAGAGTCTGGCTGTTCGAGGAAGATGCGTAAGAGCTCCACATTGGCCTCCTGAGAAGCCATGTGCAGGGAGGTGCGACCACTTTTATGATCCTGTTGGAAAAAGACACAGGTACAGTCAAACACTGAGCTGTATCAGACTGTATGGAATGGGCTACGCTGCCAAAGAATGATACGCAAAAATGATAAATGAAAGACGCTCAACCTCTAGCCTGGTTCCAGATCTGTTTATGATGCCTTGCCAACTCCAAAGACCATAGGAGTTGGCTAGGTTGGAGTTGGCAAGGCAGCAAACAGATCTGGGACAAGGCTTTTCAAACTCACCTTAGTTGCACAGGAGGCTCCCATGAGCAGCAGTGTGTTGACACACTCCCGCAGTAGCTTCCTTCTCTGCATCAACTCCACCACCCCAGGGGACTGGGGGGTCGCCGCCATACGACCCAACTCCTGGACAACAGCATTGTGAGACAGGACCGCTGTCTGAAGAGGTGTTAGGCCTGGAGAAAAGCAGAACGGGGCATTGGGGAGGTAGTATTTATTTTGCCATTATGACGGTTAAATAATGTTGACTGTCGTAGTTTGTGACTCAGCCTTGGGTTGAGTCACAGGTTGCCTCGCCTGTTCTATTATATAGCAGATTCTGAGCAACTCTGACAGGTCATAGATCTGAGCAACCCTGACTCACCATCATAGTTGACTTCTTCCACATTAAGCTCCTGACCTTTACCCTTCAGAGCTCTTCGGATGGTCTACGGAAAGAGAGAGTGTGTGAAGGAAAATGTTCAACAGAGGGATAAAGGGCAAATGGGTATAACAGGAATAACTTTTCATTTCAATTGAAACACACACTTGTGCTAAGGTACAACTGTGGAATTAACTAGTCAGAGTAAAACGTCCTCGCTAACGACGACAGTGTCAATGTGTAGTTCTAGAGATCTAAAAGAGCTAACTAGATGCCAGCCATTTATCAGCAGCTCCTGTTCTTCCTTAATGCATTAGTATCCGACAACAAGAACTGTTGTGAGAGTCAGCCAGGACCAGATGAGTAACAGATTAACAGTTGTTAATGATTGGGAGCTTTAGCGTGTCATGTTCTGTTGACGGTTAATGTTTGATGGGCTGGGAGTGCATTTGCCATGACCTCTTATCAGAAGCACATCTGTTGTTAAACCAGTTTTTCAAAGAAAGGGGGATTTTTTTTCCCAGTGTTGTTTTGAGGAAATGCTCTATGATTGGCTGTCTGTCCTAGATATCTGTTATGAGGTGATGAGGAAGTCACTGCCTGAGATCTAACCCGATACAGAACAACTGTCGCCATGGGACACAGGAAAACATTCAGGAGGAACGTCCTAAACACAGTGGGCCAAACTTCCAACTAAAAGATAAAGACTGAAAATGGCAGACAGTTTATCACAGATAATCAAGGTGGTAAAGTTTCAGTGAAACCTATAAATCCATTCATTGAGTCATTAGCCAAATTTGCATAGATTCTTATCAAAATGGCATCACAAAGTTGCTGACAGATCTGTTCAGATGGTGCACACGGCACCAGAGTTCCCTATAGTGTTTTGCATAACCACTCTATATTTGGTGTGCAGGGGCGCAAAACCATCCTGCCTTATTAACATATACTGTAAGTCTAAAACAATCGACCATTGACAACCAACCTGTGGTTTTACTTCTTGAAACTTTGCGGGGGTAAAACAGCCTGAAAACCAAGGTTGCACAGTCCAGATAACATACTGTATCAGATTAGACTATGTTCAAGTCATCTGTTGAAGTCATAAACTGATCATTATTCAGGGCAATCATAAACCTAGCCTTTTTTAGTGACTTATTTCTTCAGAGTGAGGAAACAACTCTCTGATCCCATAGTGGAGAATGGAAGATATTGCAAGGCACTATTAATACATTAACAAACACAAGGCTCCTGGTAAAAACGTTAGAGTTTGTTTGCTGTGATTGGCAACCAGTGTTATTAAAATAGAGAACACACACACACCCCCCTACAGCTCAGTGTTTCCCTGACAACAACTATTTCCTTCCTCTAGCGCCAAGACATTGATTAAAGTCATCAAGCCTTGTGTATAATAATAATAATAATAATAATAATAATAATAATAATAATAAGAGAAACAGAGATTGTGTTCAACAATCATCATGTTTTCAGACCTTTCTTCAGACCTTTCAAACCATAGTCTCTGTGTGATGAGGTATGCTCACTTTAGTCTGGAAAACCCGACCCTCGGCAACACAGTGACTAGTGTGTGGTTTCAATGACGGACTCTTTTGGCATTGAGGAACTAGGCCACTGCCTACGTTGATAAGGGCAAAAATACCTCTGGGGACTCGCCCCACAAATCACGAGGGAGACATGCCATAACATCATGATTCAAAACCAAAGTATGCAGGCAAAACTTTTGCAGTGGTTTTAGTTAAGGTAGTTGATGCAAACTAGCCACTTGCGAAATGCACTCATTAAAAATGACCTCCGTGATCTCCATCTTGCTAGCTACTATTTAAGAATTTTATTCAGGCTGATAAAGTGGTGACGTAGGCAGTGACGTAGTTCCTCTATGCCAAAACACTCCATCACTGAAACCAGACCTTAGTCACTGTGTTGCCTACACTGGTCTATGGGCATGACACTTCCCTGACTTAACTATCTAACTGCTAAGGTTGACTGCCTGCAGTGATGCCTCAAAGATAAGGTGTGCAATACAAGTTACAAGGCTAGAACATCACGTGGTCAGATAAAATACAGAGCCCTATTCACATCACATCACACTCTTAGTATGTGCCACAGTGGGAAAGTCAAAGGGCTGACCTGGAGAGTGAGCGCGTGGCCCTTCTCTGCACACACATGCAGAGGGGAGCGGCCCCAGCAGTCAGCGGTGTTGATCTGAGCCCCCTGGGCCAACAGGTCCTGCACTATCAGATGTTGATTGGCTGCAACGCTCAACTGAAGGGCACTCTGGGTACAAAACAAAAAAAAGACAAGAAAGATCAAATGTCGAAAATCCTCCTTTTCAGATGATATGATTACAACTGTGATTATTGCACCCTTGTGCCCAATTCCAAATCAACCCAGAGCCACTAGCTACTAGGCACTAGTGTGTGTGTGTAGCAGAAGTCTCTGGGGCTAGGTGTCCATTTAGAATTGGGCGTGAGGATGTAATTCCTTACCTGGCCATTGTGCTCCTTCATATCCAGCATGCCGACGTTAGCCATCTTGCTGGCCAGCACAAAAGCTAGAGCCCTTCTGCCCTGTGCCACAGCTATGTGTAAGAATCTGGCAACGCAGAGATAAAACAATCTACACTAAGATAAAAGGGTTCGAAAAGGGTTCTTTGGCTCTCCCCATAGGAGAACCCTTTTAGGTTCCAGGTAAAACCCTTTCTGGTTCCATATAGAACCCTTTTGGGTTCCATGTAGAACCCTCTGTGGTAAGGGTTCTACATGGAACCCAAAATGGTTCTACTTGGAACCAAAATGGTTCTATATGGAACCTGAAAGGGTTCTTCAAAGGGTTGTCATATGGGGACAGCCAAAGACCCCTTTTAGGTTCTAGATAGCACCTTTTTTTCTAAGAGTGTACATTTCTGGCAAGCATAGGTCACATGATGGATTAGAACAGTGGTCACTAACATTCCTGTTCCTAGAGAGCTACAGGGTGTGGCAGGTTTATGTTCAAACACTGTGCTAGGCTGGAACAAAACCCTGCATACCCGTACCTCCCCAGGACCAGAGTGGGAGGCCACTGGGTTAGAAAGATAACTGAGTTGAGTATGCATAGTTGCTTAGATCTATAAAAGGCAAATGTATACAACGGGTTGATGAATACTACACAAACTGACGTGTCTCCATCACTATCCTGGCTTGTGAGCATCTGGGGGTTGAGCCCTGCCAACTTCTCCTCTTCCTGTTGTATCTGCCATTGAAAGAAGGTCATCGGCTCCCCTTCAGCAAACTGAGCCAATGGCCAAACCCCCCTTGGGGTTAGCGGGGCTATGAAAGGCTGGGAGACATAGGAGTTTCCCATTGCATGTGGAGCATGTGGCAGGTGATTTTGAGGGTAGAGGGACTGACAGTCGATGAGGCTGAAGGGGTCAGGGATGGTCTCTTGTAAGGAGGTCTCTGATTTCATGGACTCATATCCAAGGTCCATGAAGTCAATGTCCAGTGTGCTTCCCTCTGGAGGGCTCAAAGTCTGAAAGAGAAGTGGATGATACATACTTAAAACGGGTCATCTGCAGTTGATACATCCGTTTTTGGACTTATAAATGAATGGTGTGTACCCATTGATACTTGAAGAATATAACTTATAAATGCCTCATGAGCTTAGTTCAACTGTCACACTCCATCAGAACCCAAAATAAAAGTTTGTTTTATTCCAATGTTTGTAAACAAACTAAATGTAAACAAACACTATATAGCCTCAAAACATGGTTAAACTATAACGTTGATATCATGGATGGTCAGTCCTTACATCCATAGCTCTGTCTATGAATTTGACAGTGGTTATATTTCTCCAGCCCCATCCCTCAGTGTTTTAGAACGATTTGTTATTGTTTCAACTGCTGATTGGGATTGTCTTTAAGTACATTTCCTTTCATGAAAGGTGAACAATAAGGAAGACTAATATTTGTAGTTAAGTTCCCTCCAAAACAGCAGACTCTACATGAGACACACATGCAAAACATAATCATCTATATGCATGATGACATTGCCAAACTCCATTCCTCATTTTGAGTTCTGGAATGGCCCTCAGGGTGGAGGCGGTAACTCCCGAGTCTCAATGGGGTTTACCCGGAGGGTAACTGAGCAAGTGAAGTGACATCAGACTACACAGAAAAGGAGAAATGGAACTGGGTTATGGATTGAAGTGGTCGGCCATATCACCCAATATAGTTTGTAGCTATAACAACATGACATGCAAGAGACTTTGTGGTTTTCACTAGTTCTTCATTAGCTAAACCAGAGGAATTTCCCTGGATTTATTTAGCCTGGGTCCATGAAATCACCACTAGCCTGAACACAAAGAATCGTGGGGAAAGTTCAAGGGGATTCAATTAAAATAGCATTATAACCAAAATCATACAATTACCTGGATTGCCTTTGCAGTAGCAAGTCTTTTAGTAGGTGAATCGGTTATCAAGCTGAAGTCTGCAGTCCTCTTATGCCCTTGGAGAAGGAAGGTCAATTCTACATGATAACGAACAAAAAAAAAACATTTGCACATCATATTATAATGTACTGTATGTACAGTGTTTCTGGGAAATGTGTGTCGATAAAATTGTAATATTACCTGTGTATTCTCCCTCAGAGTGTTGCTGGACATTAAGAAAAACAGAGATCATGAGAATATGGACAGATGTAAGCTAAATATGTAATATGACAATATGTAAGATTTTATAACCATAATATTTACACAAGTTAGCAGAACAATAACATAACATAAATCATTTCATTGACCTGTACATTTTGGTTGCTAAGGCGCTTCTGCATGATGAGTTCTTTCACTGTATTCTTCACCCGCACACCTTGGAAACGTCCAAAAGACCGCACCTCACTCATGGAACACTCTGAAACAGGTATAAATACCATCAATGAGAATCTTTGATCCCAAGGCAAGTTTGAAATAAACACTCCTTTTGATTAATTTGGTATTTAGGCAAAAGTGGTTGCGTTGAAGTTGTTGTTAAAGGTGCACTCAGCAATACATAAAATTTTCATTTGCAAAAAGCCCTTGCTGTATGATATATCTATAGTGTTAGGATACATGAATACAGTTCCTGGGAACTCTGCCTGCCAAGTTCAAGCACAAACGTACATGTAATTGCTAAAATATACTTAATTATTGAAAGTAAAAGTATAAATAATTTCAAATTCCCTATATTAAGCAAACCAGACGGCACCATTTTCTAGTTTTTTATTATTTACACACTCCAACACTCAGACATCATTTACAAACAAAGCATTTGTGTTTAGTGAGTCTGCCAGATCAGAGGCAATCAAGATTACCAGGGATGTTCTCTTGATAAGTGCATGAACGTGACCATTTTCCTGTCCTGCTAGCCATTCAAAATGTAACAGTACTTTTGGGTGTCAGGGAAAATGTATGGAGTAAAAAGTACATTATTTTCTTTAGGAATGTAGTGAAGTAAAAGTAAAAGTTGTCAAAAATATAAATAGTAAAGTACAGATACCCCCCAAAACTACATAAGTAGTACTTTAAAGTATTTTCACTTAAGTACTTTACACCACTGTCAAATTCACACTGTAATCTACAACATTCACCAAATGACCGTAACTGTTTGTTTGCCTCTGCCGTTCAAATAGCACAATTTATCAAATCTATCTTGTTCTTCCATTGCACAGTGCTATTATAGGTCTAAATATGATTTTGGGTCTACCCATGATCACTAATCCTAAACTCCGTGTCACTAATGCAGTGTTCTTTTCGGTGTTCCAGGAGTAGGCTAATAAGGAAGTAACTTCATTAATTATTATCTGATAATATAAAGTACCCTCGCTATCATTCTTAACACAATAGCTTGCTTAGAGGAAAAGTTTTTAACAACAATTACAAATATGTATATTAATTTCTAAAAGTAAGGGTTTTATTTTATTTTACCGTTTGTGCCGCTGTCTTCTGTTGACGGAGTCGGGCTCCCAATTTTGCCCCAGCCATCCAAATCGTTTGGCGCACAGAGAGAGATGTTGAGCTCCGTTGCAGGTGAGGTATCCTGGTAAAAAGACCCCAAATACACCGGGCTCGTCTCAGCAGTCCCTGGATTCACAAGACTCAAACCGTTCTCGATAATTCTGTCGATGATCATGTTGTGCTCACAGCTAGATCACGATGTATGCACTATCAAGAGTTCTAATGGAGTTCCCGATTGGAGCATGTGACAACTGTACCTTGAGCGCTTGTAGCCTACATGAATTACACATCGGGCGCGTTCCAGATCTGCCCGAGGACGTCCTACAAAGTAGGTCATACCAGAACAGAGCCTCATAAATACAATACAATCTTTGTTGTCCATCAAAGTCGCCATATCACATCTGACACCAGTGTAGCGCAGGCTTACAAAGATGTAGGCTAGACCAAAGAAAATAATTGAAAAAAAGTGTCAGTTCAAATGAAATATAATTGTATTGGTCACATGCACCGAATAGAACAGGTGTAGACTTTACAGTGAAATGCTTACTCATGAGCCCATTCCCAATAGTGCAGATTAAAAAAGTAAGACAAATATTTGCTTAATAAAAAAGGAAATAGTAACACAATAAAAACAATATTGAGGCTATATACAAGGAGTACCAGTACCGAGTCAATGTGCAGGGGTACGAGGTAGTTGAGGTAATTGAGGTAATACAGTATGTACATGTGGGTAGGGGTAAAGGTGACTAGGCAATCAGGATATATAATAAACAGAGTAGTAGCAGTGTATGTGAAGTGTGACTATGTGTGAGTGTGTGTGTGTGTGTGTGTGTGTGGCGTCAATATGCATGTGTGTGTGTTTTGTGTATGTGAGCCATTGTAGTGTGTGTGTGTGTGTGTGTGTGTGTGTGTGTGTGTGTGTGTGTGTGTGTGTTGGAGTGTCAGTCTAGTATGCGTGAGTATGTGGGTAGAATCTAGTGAGTGTGCATAGAGTCAGTACAAGGGAGTCAGTGCAAAACAATTAAGATAAATAAATAATAAAGGAAGTCAATGTAAATTGTCCGGGAAGCCATTTTATTAAATGTTCAGCAGTCATATGGCTTGGGGTGAAAGCTGTTCAGGTGCCTTCTGGTCACAGACTTGGCACTCCGGTACCGTTTGCCGTGTTGTAGCAGAGAGAACAGTCTATGACTTGGGTGGCTGTAGTCTTTGACAATTTTTAGGGCCTTCCTCTGACACCGCCTGGTATAGAGGTCCTGGATGGCAGGGAGTTCGGCACCAGTGAGGTACTGGGCCGTACGCACTACCCTCTGTAGCGCCTTGCGGTCGGATGCCGAGCAGTTGTCATAACAAGTGGTGATGCAGCCAGTCAAGATGCTCTCAATGGTGAAGCTGTAGAACTTTTTAAGGATCTGAGGGCCCATGCCAAATCTTTTCAGCCTCCTGAGGGGGAAGAGGCGTTGTCGTGCCCTCTTCACGACTGTGTTAGTGTGTTTGGACCATGCTGGTCCTTAGTGATGTGGACACCGAGGAACTTGAAGCTCTAGACCCGCTCTACTACAGCCCCGTCGATGTGAATGTGGGCATGTTCGGCCCTTAATTACATGTAGTCCACGATAGGCTCCTTTGTCTTGCCCACATGGAGGGAGAGGTTGTTTTCCTGGAACCACACTGCCAGGTCTCTGACCTCCTCCCTATAGGCTGTCTCATCATCATCAGTGATCAGGCCTACCACCGTCGTGTTGTCGGCAAACTTAATTATGGCGTTGGAGTTGTGCGCTGCCACGCAGTCGTGGGTGAACAAGGAGTACAGGAGGGGACTGAGCACACACCCCTGAGGGGCCCCCGTGTTGAGGGTCAGTGTGGCGGATGTGTTGTTACCTACCCTCACATCCTGGGGGTGGCCCGTCAGGAAGTCCAGCATCCAGTTGCAGAGGGAGGTGTTCAGTTCCAGGGTCCTTAGTAATGAGTTTGGAGGGCACTATGGTGTTGAACGCTTAGCTGTAATCAATAAACAGCATTATCACGTAGGTGTTCCTTTTGTCCAGGTGGGAAAGGGCAGTGTGGAGTGCAATAGAGATTGCGTCGTCTGTGGATCTGTTGGGGCGGTATGCGAATTGGAGTGGGTCCAGGGTTTCTGGGATGATGGTGTTGATGTGAGCCATGACCAGCCTTTCAAAGCATTTCAGGGCTACAGATGTGAGTGCTACAGGGCGGTAGGTAGTGCCTTGGCGTTCTTAGGCACAGGGACTATGGTGGTTTGCTTGAAACGTGTAGGTATTACAAACTGGGTCAGAGAGAGGTTGAAAATGTCAGTGAAGACACTTGCCAGCTGAGTATGCGTCCTGGTAATCCGTCTGGCCCTGCGGCCTTGTGAATGTTAACCTGTTTAACCTTTTACTGCAGTGGGCTAAATCAGGGTCACACAGAGTGTGTCTTGGTAGTCTTAAACAAATCTACTTTGAAACAAAAGTATACACCTCACACACATGGTTATAGCCTTAAAAAAAGAAGACACCTGTCATATATACAGTTGAAATGTATTCAATTTTGAATTTGCATCCCAATATTATGCTTTATATACATCACAGAAGACTGAAATATAACAAAACCGTTTGACATAGAAACACCAGATTTTCGGCAGGTTTTTGAAATAATGTTTATTAATTATGAAATTATGAAAAATATGAATAACATTCCACCCATGACTAGGTCATTTGACTGCAGGAAAAGGCTACAGGTCTTACTCACTTCGGATACGGAGAGCGTGATCATACAGTCGTCCGGAATAGCTGGTGCTCTCATGTATGGTTCAGTGTTGTTTGCCTCGAAGCGAGCATTGAAGGCATTTAGCTCATCCGGTAGGTTTGCGTCACTGGGCAGCTCTCAGCTGGTTTTCTCTTTGTAATCCATGATCGTTTGCAAGCCCTGCCACATCCGACGATCGTCAGAGCCGGTGTAGTATTCGATCTTAGTCCTGTATTGACGCTTTGCCTGTTTGATGGTTCGTCGGAGGGCGTTGCGGGATTTCTTATAAGTGTCCGGATTAGTGTCCTTCTCCTTGAAAGCAGCAGCTCTAGCCTTTAGCTCAGTGCAGATGTTGCCTGTAATCCATGGCATCTGGTTGGGATATGTATGTATGTATGGTTACTGTATTCCAGTCACTGTGTTCCAGTCTACTTAACGGGGTGTCTCCCATAGACACCAATGCAATAGCAGCTGGGTCTGGTCTACTTAGTTCATTGACTTTTTTTTATTATTTTTTTTATAATATGTTTATTATTTTCCAATAAAAATAAAGTAAAAGAGACAGCAATACAAACAATGACATTCATTGTACTGTTGGATGGGATGGCCAGTTTAGAGGACAAAACAAAAGTTAACTCACACATACACAAAATAAAACAAAATCCTATTAGGTGGTACGTGTATAAGAAGACAGCATATAGTCATTACAAGCAGTGTAGTTCAGCCAAAAATAAATATTGAGTGGAGTACAGCACAGAGTAGCAGCAGATCGTCAGCCCAGTTATGAAGCGGGACTAGACCATTTATCCAGTATCGGCTGCCATATTTTGTAAAACAATGGACTTCTATTGGAGGTGTTGTATCGAATCTTTTCCATATGGATTACATTCCCTAAGTCCCGTAACCACATTTCAAAGGTAGGTACAGTCTCCAATTTCCAAAATTGCAATATGAGCCTTTTGGCTAATAGAGTACAAAGAGAGACAGCTTTCCCCTCCTGGTCATTCCCATCAACTGTACCAAACAGAGCGATCAATGGGTCTGGGGCTAGAACTCTATCAAAGGCCTTAGATAAGTAATCAAAAATGAGAGCCCAGTAAGCCTGTAATTTAGGGCATGTCCAGAATAAGTGGGACAACGTCCCCTCCTCCTGCTTGCACCTCTCACACAGTGGTGAGGTGTCCGGGAATATTTTATGCAGTTTTACTTTTGAGTAGTGTAACCTGTGTATCACCTTAAACTGTACAAGGTTGTGTCTGGCATTCACTGAACTGTGGTTTATATTCCTGAGAGCTTCTATCCAGTCCTCATTTGAGATTTCTGAACCAAGTTCTTGTTCCCAAGCCCTTTTAATGGTGTCTGTGGATACCTCTATGTGGGCCTGTAGCACATCATACAGTCTGGAGACCGACCCTTTTGAATGGGGTTTGACAAGGATCAAGCTATCTAATGTAGGACTATTTGGCTTCATGCCATACTGTGGGATGTGTGTCCTTAAGAAATTCCTGATTTGGAGGTATCTGAAAAAATGTGTTGTTGGCATGTTGAACTTTGCCTGTAGTTCATTGACTTTTATTGAACCAGAAAAAACTGCCTTTTCCGTCTCTGGCTAGACTAGACTATTACCGGTACGTGTGGGACTTTTATTGTGAAGACCAAAGGAAATAATAGACCCGGAAGTTGTTCTCGCTGTCGCGCTATGATTGAATCTGAGAAGAACGGAGGATGAGGAGGGAGAACATGTCTGATACCCCTACCGAAGCGGGAAAGGAGATGCCGACAAAAAAGCAGAAGCTGAGCAGTGATGAAAACAGTAATCCCGATCTCTCTGCAGATGAGAATGTAAGTTCGATGTGGTTTTGTTCTGTTTGTATCGGCGCCAACATGAAAAATGGTTAACTAACGTTAGCTAGCTAAGTAGCTAACGTTAGCTAGCTATGAAAAGTTCGGCTAACTAGCTAGCGTCTGGTAGTTGATTTTGGAGTTCGTGATGATAGCTGGGCCTTTCCCTATATTTCAACTAGGCCTAGTTGTTGTTTTTAGCTACCTTGCTAACGTTAGTTGTGGTTATTTCCCTTTCAAACATTCCAGAACAGGAAATAAGAAAAGCCTCACTCAACGAGCAAGGGATGCGAGACAACACTGCAAAGGGCCTCCACCTAAGCTAGCTAGTTGGCTAGTTATGCTCTCTAGGTAGCGTTAGCTATCAAGTTTTGGACCCTTCTGGGATTGCCCAAGTAGATAATCATTAGCCAGTTGTCAGTTTAGTTTTTCTAGTCTATCTCAAGCCCCTCACACCCAGGTATGCCTTAGATGGCCTCATGGTAGGCCAGCCCACATCTGACACCAGTGTAACGAACAGGGGGTGCAGAACATCATTGCAGGTTGCAAACGCATCAACCACAACCTAGCCCATCACATGTTGCTATCATTTGTGTTTGTAGGATGATGCTGTCAGCGTTGAGAGCGGGACCAATGTGGAGCGCCCAGACACACCCACCAACACAGCCAACGCTCCAGGCAGGAAGAGCTGGGGCAAGGGCAAGTGGAAATCAAAGAAGTGCAAATATTCCTTCAAGTGCGTCAACAGCCTCAGGGTGAGCCCATGTTATCAAGAATATTTCCAATAAATTCCAACTGCAGACATGTCACATCTTGTCAACTGCGCCTACTTTTGATTCCAGAAATGTCGTAATCTCAGCCTTGGAATGCCTGTTATAAGTATGTGTGAACTGTGCTGTGCATATGATACTGTGTGAGTTGTAAACAGCTGAATGAAGGTGTGCTAATGTTACGGGTGGGCTCTGAACCCAGGTCTCCCACAGGACAAACCAATGTCTTGACCAAGAGGAAATTCCCCCTTGGGCCGAGGTTCACACTGATTTTGAAGTCGCAGGCAGGGATACCTCATCACCTTGACCATGAGCTCAACTCAACTCATAATTAACTGGTTCTTTACACAGGAGGATCATGGCCAGCCATTGTTTGGGGTCCAGTTCAACTGGCACAGTAAAGAAGGGGACCCGCTTGTGTTTGCTACTGTGGGGAGCAACAGAGTAAGTATCTTTGGCATCACATACACCATGTTGAAAGTGTAATAACCAACGCAGGTGGCGTAAAATACAGAAATGAGGGGTCTAATTCTTAAACCCATGTGCCACTTGTCACTCCTGACTATGTGATGTCCTTCATTTACCAGGTAACACTGTATGAGTGCCATTCCCAAGGAGAGATCCGACTCCTGCAGTCTTACGTGGATGCCGATGCAGATGAGAACTTCTACACCTGCGCCTGGACCTTTGACACCAGTACAAGCCATCCGCTCCTGGCCGTGGCCGGGTCACGTGGCATCATTCGGGTGATCAACCACATCACCATGCAGTGTATCAAGGTGGGTGAATCTCTAAGTAGATCAACCACATCACCATGCAGTGTATCAAGGTGGGTGAATCTCTAAGTAGATCAACCACATCACCATGCAGTGTATCAAGGTGGGTGAATCTCTAAGTAGATCAACCACATCACCATGCAGTGTATCAAGGTGGGTGAATCTCTAAGTAGTTTTAGGGATGGAATTTAAATTGGTGCAGAAGGGGGGAGGGGTTAGTTGTGCCACATCTGAATATTTTGTTGTTTTTCAATGCAGCACTATGTGGGTCACGGGAACGCCATCAACGAGCTCAAGTTTCACCCCAGAGACCCCAACCTCCTACTATCTGTCAGCAAAGGTAGAACAACTACTCACCATAGCTGTGACTTTACAGAAGATAATATTTCCTCAACTGACTTAACCTTTTGAGAACTTAACGATTTACATTTAGGAAGGATTATAGTCTGTGTGTATTTACACCATTAACAGAATGACTTAACAGAAAATCAACTGTCGGTGTGAATATCTCATCAGCTTTGTGTTTGTGTGTTTTTAGACCACGCCCTTCGTCTTTGGAACATCCAAACAGACACACTGGTGGCCATCTTTGGAGGTGTAGAAGGCCATAGAGATGAAGTCCTCAGCGCAGTGAGTACACCACACTACCATCTCTTACTAGCTTTCTTGATCAATAGAAGTCAGGGATTTCTATGTGTATGTTATCATTGAAAATGTCAATACATGTCAAATAAATGAGATTTCTGATTTAATAATCAAAGTCTGTCTGCGCCAGGACTTTGACCTGCTAGGTGAGAAGATCATGTCGTGTGGAATGGATCACTCTCTGAAGCTCTGGCGGATCAACTCGGAGAGGATGCAGAAAGCCATTAACGGATCCTATGAATACAACCCCTCTAAGACAAACAGGTGAAAATATTGATTGTGGGAAACAAACGTACGTGTATTCCCATGTATATTTCAGTTATTCAGCAGACTTTTACCCACAACAAAGCGCATTCAAATAATAGGGCTGGAAAAAATGCATAAAAGGAACATCGTACAGTGTTGCCAGGCTACAGTCAGAATCTCACTTTGTTGAGGTTTTCAAAGTAAAAATGTTTTCTCCTTTAACCGATGATTCGGTCTTCTTCTTACAGGCCATGGGTCTCTCAGAAGATCCACTTCCCAGACTTCTCTACCAGAGACATCCACAGGAACTATGTGGACTGTGTACGCTGGCTGGGAGATCTGATTTTATCCAAGGTAAGACTGTGAGAAGCTTCTTGTTCAAACACAGATACGTTACATCCTGTTATTAGGTTGTGGATCCCGTTGTGAGCCTCAACCCCTACTCCTTTGTTCCTGTCCTGACCAGTCGTGTGAGAACGCCATCGTGTGTTGGAAACCAGGGAAGATGGAGGACGACATTGACCTCATCAAACCAAATGAGTCCAACGTGACAATCCTGGGTCGCTTCGACTATAGCCAGTGTGACATCTGGTACATGCGTTTCTCCATGGACTTCTGGCAGAAGGTAAAGATGATATTCTCCTTTCGTTGTGTCTGTCGGATGTGAAGAATCCCTTATCTGCTACTGTTCTTCCCAGTATTGGAAGCAAACAGTGGTTTGGTGTTGGAACTCTATAAAAAATAGATGCAAGGCTGTTGTTTTACATAAAAAATATAAAGTATAGTATTGTCTCTCCACATAGAAAGTTGTCTGAAGCTCAATAAGTATTGTTTGACTATTGAAATAATACATGTCTTGTCCTACAGATGTTGGCTCTGGGAAACCAAGTGGGGAAACTGTATGTGTGGGACCTGGAGGTAGAAGACCCTCACAAAGCAAAGTAAGCATCAGTAGGGAAACTATGTGTGGGAGTGTTGGGGAAGATACTCTGAAAACACAGTTTACCAAGCTACCAACCGATTCAGACTGGAAGAAGTAAAGCTACTCTTAAGAAACATTGTTTACTAAACTAAAGTTACTTTGAAAAAGTAGTTCACTACATCCAAACTACATCTGAAATGTCAGACTACTAATTGCATGAACAGATCACTTTGGAGTCAGATGTTAACATAATGTGTAATTTAGCCTTATGAAAGAGCAACATTTTGATTTCCGCCTAAATAGACATACCCAAACGCAATTATTTTTCATGATGGCCATAAACAATAACCGGTAATGTTGTATAGTTTTAGAAAGGTCTGGAACTCACCTTTCTGGTAAATGTTGTTATAAATTGCTGAGGTGTACTCTTTTTAGGACACAAGCTCAAGTACATAGTACAAATATGAAAAAAATATTAACAAACAAATGATAAGACTTACTATAAGAATTCAGTTCTTATAGGGCGGCAGGTAGCTTAGTGGGTAAGAGTGTTGTGCTAGTAACCGAAAGGTCGCTGGTTCTAATCCCCGAGCCGACTAGGTGAAAAATCTGTCGATGAGCCCTTAAGCAAGGTACTTAACCCTAATCCAGAGCGATTTACAGGAGCAATAAGAGCGTCTGCTAAATGACTAAAATATAAATAAATATAAAATATTATAACAATAAAATAAATATGATCATACTTGGTGGCAATAGTACAATATTGGCACTCATAACTGACAGAACTTTCTCCTAAACGTCCACTGAGCAGCGCGGAGACACCATTGAAACGTGTGCAGACTCGTTACAACTTCAGTCTGTGACCAAGAGAAAGTGGTCTTTCAATTCTATGACATTATTTAGTATTTTTTCAATTTTGAAAGCTCTATGTCCGGCTGGGAATATCACAGCGAGATGAAACCACAACGGCTGGACTCAGACTGTCACCGTTCATATGCCGTTTCCCAGGCTGGGCTCACTTGATCAGAGGAAATCAATTCTTTGTCTGGATAGGCCAGAGAATGTGACACGTCACTCCCTATGTAAATGTTGGGTCTGAAACGTGACACTTCAAGTCAGCTCCGCTGAGAGAGTAGAAATGGTGAGCAGACAGATGGGGCTTTCTAGCACTATAAGGCACAGGACCCTATGGCATTCAGAGCGCTTTTTACTCCAAAATGTCAGTCAGAACCGCTCCAGAACTGCTCAGTCCCCCATACATGGGACTTAACATCTAAGAGGTTTAAACACACACAAATATGTTTCAAATGAGAATTAGACAGGTCTGATGCTGAAAAAGAAATGAAATTGCCTACTTTACCCATAATTTATTTTGGCAATTTTTTAAATTAAAAAGTTAACTACTGAAAACACCAATAATTGAAGTTAGTTCAACTAACACCAAGCACAGCAAAATGTAATTAAATGACTAGTTGAACTACATGTATTTCACTACTCCCTGCATGTGTGGGACGTGAAGGTAGAGGACCTGCAAAGTTAAGTCAACCTCCCACCAAGACACCTCACCTTAGCAGTGGTCCATACCTAGATGCTAGACTGCCTGAGAGAAGAAGTGATGTTAGAAGGCCAGTAGAGAGTGCTCCTCTCCTTGTTATGTGTAATGTTCCAGGGCGGTGACAGAAAAACCACAGAACAATGAGACCGATATTTCACCGGATGTATAAATGTGAAGCATCCGCTTGGCGTTTCCACTCACTACCAAATATGGTAGTGAGAGGAAGCCAAGTGTCCGGCAGTTGGAGAAGCTGGAACAAGATGGATTTTGGCTGACATTCTGCAAATTTCTCATTTTCTCAACATTTGATCTCAATACAGTTTTCTGTTCCCAAAGCAACAATCTGTTATGAACAGAGTGGACCAAGTTTTTTAGACTTTACCCTTTGCTAAAGTTTTCTAAAAATGCATTGTTTAGGAGTGCAAAGGCGAATTGAGTTATTGCGCATTTCAGAGTAGGCGTTCCCTAACAAATATGCAAATGTCTGCTACAGCGCGCCAATAGGATCTCGCAAGCTCGTGCTTGGCTCTGCCAACCTCCTTGCTTGTTTTGCCCACTGACTAATTTGTTCCCATTTGAAACGACGGGCGGTGGTCTATCTTGGTTTAGTTCTAAAAAAATCTGAGACAGTCTGTTTCTGTTGTTTCACCAAATACATTCTAACCTGGATCTCTGGTTTAGATGCACCATCCTCACCCTCCCAAGATGCACCTCTGCCATCAGACAGACCAGCTTCAGCCGTGACAGCAGTATCCTGATCGCAGTCTGCGACGACGCCTCTATCTGGCGCTGGGACCGCCTGAGATGAAGATGACGTTGACGTTGACAATGAGCAGCCGACTCTATTATCTGACGGACCAGTCACTTTGCTGCCAGGAACCGGAGACATTTTCCAGGTACACATTTTCTGTGTATAGTCTGCATCAGATCTGTCCAATGGAGGAGGGGTTTAACATCTCAGGAACCACTCCCAACATGACACAACGTTGCTACAGTCTGCGCAGAAAAATGTGTATCTGGAACGCACCAATTATCTTTGTTTTGTTTCCCTACCCTTCTCCGGATTACACTTACACCAGCCCATCCTTATTAAACCCATGAGGGGGGAGTGAAAAGGGGCACAATTTGGGGAGAATCAGACTGCAACCCTGGAGCCCTTCAAGCTTTCTCCCCCTTGCTATTTGCTTCCCCTTTGCTTACTTTTCACTTTTAAATGGGCTTTAATAAAAGCTATTTTTCTAAATGTTTCTGGTCTCATTGTGAGGTACTGAAGCTTGAAAAGAAGCTGGGAAAGCCTGCTAACTAAATAAATACAAGCCCAGACCACCTGAATGCGGAGAACAGGAGTAGAGACAGTTAGGCTGCCCCAACAATGCATCTCATCCACTAGAAAATAAATGAAGCAACTAGGATCCGCTTGTGTAGACATGCTAAATATGTATAGAATAAACTAGTGGCGCAAAGAACATTTTAGGAAATGTTTTAATTAATATTATTTATTTGACAAAAGACCTACAAGTAATTGTAGCTATAAAACAAGACCTCTTCATCTTCTGTGGAGGACCATTCCTGGACATTATGGAGCAGAAAATGAAGTCTTTGGTTCTCTGTCCATGCCCATTTATCATTGTTTTTAATACTGTGGTATCATCGAGACAACTCATGTCTTCCAGAAATTAGGGTTTTGAGCCATGCGCCTCTGGAAGTTCTCATACCTGGGGAGAAAGAGACCAAAGGAGCACATGACTTTATGCTTTTGATATAGGAAGCATGTTCAGATCTTTTGCAGTGTCCATGCTTAACTGAGTGATTTGAGCAGTTCCTCTGCAAAATGTTAGTTTCCTTCTTGTAGCCAGCCCAATAACCACAGGTTCCACAAACGTGGGTCAGGCAAATTTTAAAATAATTAATTGGGTTAATTCAAGCAGGTGTTTAAATGGTCTGACTTTGAATAGGACCAACAGGGAATCATTTTACCATTTGAGGATGGAACTGGCAGGGATGAACATTTCTGAGGGGTTTGGAGTCATCTGCGACTGGGAAACAGCAAATGACGAGGAGAAATTATACAAACTGTCCAGCATCTTCTGAGTGAACTGAGGAGAGAGAGTTGAGTTTGTGTCAGCTGAGCGTGTAGGTGCTCTTAGCAATGTCAAAATAAAAGTCCTGCACGTTCGCCATAAGTGGACAAAAAAGGAATAACTTGTGGGGGACTTTTATTGACACGCGGTAAGCAGAGAGGAAGTGGCTCTACAACAGACCCACGTTTGAAAAGTCTCTTAATACGATCCTTTAGATATTATCTCAACTTCCCCCAGTCATACTGGCCAACTGTTCTGCCCACCGGCACAGTAAGTTGAAATGGAATTGTATTTAACTCCTGGCTGCCCATGGACTGTTTTTGTGAAACCTAATACGATTGAACACAACGCTTTAGAAAGTCCAACAACCTTCCCTCAGTAAGAGCATTGAAGATGGGTCGTGGCTGGGTCTTCCAGCATGACAACGACCCGAAACACAAAGCCAGGGCAACTAAGGAGTGGCTCCGTAAGAAGCATCTCAAGGTCCTGGAGTGGCCTAGCCAGTCTCCAGACCTGAACCCAATAGAAAATCTTTGGAGGGAGCTGAAAGTCCGTATTGCCCAGCGACAGCCCCGAAACCTGAAGGATCTGGAGAAGGTCTGTATGGAGGAGTGGGCCAAAATCCCTGCTGCAGTGTGTGCAAACCTGGTCAAGACCTACAGGAAACGTATGATCTCTGTAATTGCAAACAAAGGTTTCTGTACCAAATATAAGTTCTGCTTTTCTGATGTATCAAATACTTATGTCATGCAATAAAATGCAAATTAATTACTTAAATCATACAATGTGATTTTCTGGATTTTTATTTTAGATTCCGTCTCTCACAGTTGAAGTGTACCTATGATAAAAATTACAGACCACTACATGCTTTGTAAGTAGGAAAACCTGCAAAATCGGCAGTGTATCAAATACTTGTTCTCCCCACTGTATGTATGTATGGGGGACAGAGGAAAGGGTAGTCATTAAAAAAATGTAAACCGAGTGAGTCTATATAACTTGTGATTTGTTAAGCCAAATTTTACTTCTGGACTAATTTAGGCTTGCCTAAACAAAGGGGTGAATACTTATGTAACTACTTATTTAATTTTTTATGTGTAGTATTTTATTTTCACTTTGACATAGTATTTTCTGTAGATCAATGACCAAAAAAAATATTGAAATCTATTTCAATCCCACTTTGTAACAGCAATGTGAAAACAGTTGAAGGGGGTGTAGACTTTCTATAGGCACTGTAAATACACCCGTGTTGCTAGGACACAGCAATCAAAGCAAGCAGCTTGAGTATTGACTCATACATATTATCAAAGGAAGATTACTTTCACTGATTATGTACACTGCAAACCACCCATAATATTCTTCTAACTAACCTGCATGAAAGAGTCAACAGCGGACACAATGGCACCTGATACAGGCGTCTGTTGGACCAGCTGCTCCAAAGGCTCAATAGATACACCGACTTGGGCCATGGAGGCAAGCTGAGGTACTGCCATCATTCCAAATGGATGCGCTCCACCCTCACCTATAGGAAGACAGCAGAAACAACACTATTTCATTTTCACCACAACTGGCAATCAGTTTACCCACCTAGTTTTTTACCACTACATCACTGTGTAACACACACATACTGAAAAAACACCTTGTGACAACTGCTAATGTAATAAGAACTTTATTAGCTACATTTGATTGGTTGATACTCACCTGGTTTTAATTTAGATATTTTAAAGATGGCACTTGGTTTTTCGTTGGTGATGAAACCCAGGAGCTGCCAGACCTGCCCACTGACGGGGTCCGGGAAGGAGAAGTAGACGGCGCCACCCATCCCTGCAGGGAAAGGCACTGTGCCCAGCATGAACACCACTACATGGTTCACATTCTCATAGTCTGGTAGGTTGAAGACGAACTTGTCACCAGCAACCTGCTGGGCGTCGGTCTGGACCTAAAATACAATTTTGACTCCTACATGAGGCACAATCTGTTTCTGTATTTCAGCAGTTAGACCCTGCCACTTTTTTTTTGTAAACTGAGGAATTGGGGGGTAGGTAGAGGCCAGTGGAGGGTGGTGGGAGGAGTTAATAATAATAATAATAATAATAATATGCCATTTAGCAGACGCTTTTATCCAAAGCGACTTACAGTCATGCGTGCATACATTTTTTTTTTTTTGTGTATGGGTGGTCCCGGGGATCGAACCCACTACCTTAGCGTTACAAGCGCCGTGCTCTACCAGCTGAGTTACAGGAGGACAGGCTCATAATAACTGGAAAGGAGTCAAACGTGGTTTACATATCTTTGATGTGTATGATACCGTTCCATTTATTCCATTCCAGGCATTACAATAATAATATGCCATTTAGCAGACGCTTTTATCCAAAGCGACTTAGTCATGCGTGCATAATTTTTTTTTGTGTGTGTATGGGTGGTTCCGGGGATCGAACCCACTACCCTGGCGTTACAAGCGCCGTGCTCTACCAGCTGAGCTACAGAGGACCACAATGAGCCTGTCCTTATAGCTCCTCCCACCGGCCTCCTCTGGTAGGGACATCATGATGTATCTCTATAGGGACTCTTAAATTCATAGACAGCCATGCATGCATGCTTGCATGTCCATGGACCTGTCATGTTAGTAGGAAATATACTTAAAAGCTATACATTTCCTGTTTATAATGACACAAAAAAAAAACTTTGGAGTACAATTTGGGTTATGATACTAGCTAGTTAGGGTAAGAAAAGTTATACAAGCTAAACTGCAGAGCCATGATGTACACAAAACATCTGTTTGGCTCTGCTAAACACATATCATAAAGCATTTATAACTAGCTATAGTGTTCAACAATCAATGGGTATATGTAGCCACGAGTATAAATGACCTTGAACAGCAGGAATACAATTACACATTGTCCCTTCATATCAAATGTGTAGCTAGCTGTCATTTCAGTCCCAAGTTAGCTTGCTGCCGTTAGCAAGTTACATACTTACCAATCTACCAGCAACCAAACATCCAAACATTTTAATGTCCTTGGTTACTTTATATTTGGGTCAAGATGACTGTCTTACACTCAATCGATAGCACCAGCTGTGCCCATTCCACAAAACTCCCGAGAAATTAGTTAGCTAACTCAAACGTTTTGTTTCTTGTATGGTCTGGCTCTGACCACGTGTTTACAAGAGCTTCCGGTTTGATTGACATTTCAAAATAAAAGCGCCCAGATAGAAAGTGATAGAATGTGATATAACGCTTGTGTGGTTCTAATACAGCGAGGGAAAAAAGTATTTGATCCCCTGCTGATTTTGTACGTTTGCCCACTGACAAAGAAATGATCAGTCTATCATTTTAATGGTAGGTTTATTTGAACAGTGAGAGACAGAATAACAACAACAAAAATCCAGAAAAACGCATGTCAAAAACGTTGTAAATTGATTTGCATTTTAATGAGGGAAATAAGTATTTGACCCCCTCTCAATCAGAAAGATTTCTGGCTCCCAGGTGTCTTTTATACAGGTAACGAGCTGAGATTAGGAGCACATTCTTAAAGGGAGTGCTCCTAATCTCAGCTTGTTACCTGTATAAAAGACACCTGTCCACAGAAGCAATCAATCAGATTCCAAACTCTCCACCATGGCCAAGACCGAAGAGCTCTCCAAGGATGTCAGGGACAAGATTGTAGACCTACACAAGGCTGGAATGGGCTACAAGACCATCGCCAAGCAGCTTGGTGAGAAGGTGACAACAGTTGGTGCGATTATTCGCAAATGGAAGAAACACAAAATAACTGTCAATCTCCCTCGGCCTGGGGCTCCATGCAAGATCTCACCTCGTGGAGTTGCAATGATCATGAGAATGGTGAGGAATCAGCCCAGAACTACACGGGAGGATCTTGTCAATGATCTCAAGGCAGCTGGGACCATAGTCACCAAGAAAACAATTGGTAACACATTACGCCGTGAAGGACTGAAATCTTGCAGCGCCTGCAAGTCCCCCTGCTCAAGAAAGAACATATACATGCCCGTCTGAAGTTTGCCAATGAACATCTGAATGATTCAGAGAAGAACTGGGTGAAAGTGTTGTGGTCAGATGAGACCAAAATGGAGGTGGAAACATTATGCTTTGGGGGTGTTTTTCTGCTAAGGGGTCAGGACAACTTCACCGCATCAAAGGGACGATGGACGGGGCCATGTCCCATCAAATCGTGGGTGAGAACCTCCTTCCCTCAGCCAGGGCATTGAAAATGGGTTGTGGATAGATATTCCAGCATGCCAATGACCCAAAACACACGGCCAAGGCAACAAAGGAGTGGCTCAAGAAGAAGCACATTAAGGTCCTGGAGTGGCCTAGCCAGTCTCCAGACCTTAATCCCATAGAAAATCTTTGGAGGGAGCTGAAGGTTCGAGTTGCCAAACGTCAGGCTCGAAACCTTAATGACTTGGAGAAGATCTGCAAAGAGGAGTGGGACAAAATCCCTCCTGAGATGTGTGCAAACCTGGTGGCCAACTACAAGAAACGTCTGACCTCTGTCATTGCCAACAAGGGTTTTGCCACCAAGTACTAAGTAATGTTTTTCAGAGGGGTCAAATACTTATTTCCCTCATTAAAATGCAAATCAATTTATAACATTTTTGACAAGCGTCTTTCTGGATTTTTGTTGTTTTTATTCTGTCTCTCACTGTTCAAATAAACCTACCATTAAAATTATAGACTGATCATGTCTTTGTCAGTGGGCAAACGTACAAAATCAGCAGGGGATCAAATACTTTTTTCCCTCACTGTAGGTAGGCTGTTTGTTTAAGAAGGAAAAAACATGTACAAAAATAAAGCACCAGAAACAAGCAATGTATATAATCTAAGATAAATTATATTGTGATGGGACTGCAGAAAAAATACACAATTTGGGTCCATGAAAGTATGAAAACAGAAATACTGAGGTGAGTTCCTTGATATTAGGAATTGAAGGAGCATTCAGTAGGAGTCTGTGAAAGGCTTCTTTGTTTGGCCTTTCAATCTGAGGATCTGTTCCAATCACTGATGCTCGGAGGAGAATGTTAGGGTGAATGTGAGCTATTCGTCTGTGACTTCTGGGTCTACTATATTCTTGGTTGGCTTGGAATTAATCCACATTTTAAACAATTGCCATTGAAGTCATGAGCATCCACCTATTATTGGCTTATTGGTCATCTAACATTGGGGTATATTGGGGAAATGTAACTTTGATTTTTTAAATTGAAGAGTATTTTATTGAAACTGGTTGCACTGGGTTGAGTAATGTTTGTTGATATGTCAATATAGATTGAATAGCACCAATGCCTGCCACAATGAAACCATTATTGTCAGCCAGACCATAGTCACCAATAACTAATAACTGTCACCAAAAGCTGCCAAGGTAAACCTCCACACCCCTCACTGGACTTTTATCATTACACTCCATCAAACTCTATTGGATGATACTATAGCTTTCTCTTTCCATGAAGTCAAGCACTCCAGCATTCCAGTGATGTGATAGTTTAGAGTTGAAATCATCAGTTACAGACAAAATTGGATAACTGTGACTTGTGTCATGTGGCTCATCCTGTTCAGACTGGAGTTGTCCATTGTTGTCTTGTCTTCAGATCATTTCTCTGAAGAAGACTGCAGAAGACCCCTGATCCAACGGGAGTTCTACCATGTATGGATCCACATGGCCCACTAAGTGGACGAGGAATTGCCTGAACTATGTGAGTAATCTGGATACAGTGTTATGTGTTTACATGTTCATGTTATTATCAGGCTTCAGACTACTACTGAATTCAGGAAATATCTATACTCTGATCAATGGCTCTGGTCAATAGACTATTGTGCTACATTTGGGACAACTTCAAGCATATGGGTTGTCGAAACATTCATAACCTTCATAGAGCCTTTATTCAATATCTATTACGTATGAAGTTGTTGAAGAGTATGGCATACTCATAAGGCAGACATATTTCTATTATCTGTTTCTGCAATTAACTTAAAAAAATAAACTGAACATTAAAGTATGACAATGAAACAACTGTATGTATTAGTCTAATTGATAAATAACTTAAACAACATAAGTTATTTTTATGCGTATACCATTCTGAAAAGGTTATTTTGAATTCACAGAGTAGGCTTAGGCTAGGCTATGCTGAAGGTGTGGTTGTAGGATTACAGTGAGGGAAAAAAGTATTTGATCCCCTGCTGATTTTGTACGTTTGCCCACTGACAAAGACATGATCAGTCTATAATTTTAATGGTAGGTTTATTTGAACAGTAAGAGACAGAATAACAAAACAAAAATTCCAGAAAAATGTTATAAATTGATTTACATTTTAATGAGGGAAATAAGTATTCCCAGCAATCCCAGAACAACAGCAAAGGACCTTGTGAAGATGCTGGGGGAAACAGGTACAAAAGTATCTATATCCACAGTAAAACGACTCCTATATTGACATAACCTGAAAGGCCGCTCAGCAAGGAAGAAGCCACTGCTCCAAAACCGCCATAAAAAAGCCAGACTACTGCACATGGGGACAAAGATCGTACTTTTTGGAGAAATGTCCTCTGGTCTGATGAAACAAAAATAGAACTGTTTGTCCATAATGACCATCGTTATGTTTGGAGGAAAAAGGGGGTCGATTGCAAGCCGAAGAACTCCATCCCAACCGTGAAGCACAGGGGTGGCAGCATCATGCTGTGGGGGTGCTTTGCTGTAGGAGGGACTGGTGCACTTCACAAAATAGATGGCATCATGAGGAAGGAAAATTATATGGATATATTGAAGCAACATTTCAAGACATCAGTCAGGAAGTTAAAGCTTGGTCGCAAATGGGTCTTCCAAATGGACAATGACCCCAAGCATACTTCCAAAGTTGTGGCAAAATGGCTTAAGGACAACAAAGTCAAGGTATTGGAGTGGCCATCACAAAGCCCTGACCTCAATCCTATAGAACATTTGTGGGAAGAACTGAAAAAGCTTGTGCGAGCAAGGAGGCCTACAAACCTGACTCAGTTACACCAGCTCTGTCAGGAGGAATGGGCCAAAATTCACCCAACTTATTGTGGGAAGCTTGTGGAAGGCTACCCGAAACGTTTGACCCAAGTTAAACAATTTAAAGGCAATGCTACCAAATACTAATTGAGTGCATGTAAACTTCTGACCCACTGGGAATGTGATGAAAGAAATAAAAGCTGAAATAAATCATTCTCTCTACTATTGTGGTATCTAAAAATATGTTGCTAATTATGCTGTGAGAACAAGGAGTCCGCTTACACTGTACTTTGATTATAAAGGTTTATTATTTCAAAGGATTTCAGCGTAAGTTTACAGACATCTGCAGGCATCTGGAGAACAACAGACCCAAAATAATATGTTGTTCTGTCCTCCTTTGTCCCAACCAAGTATTTATAATCTTTAACATGATATGGGTGGTTTCCCCTACAGACCAATCCCATGACTCCACACAACAGACTTCCTCTGTTTTAGGGTGCCCCTATAGAACTGTTCTCCAGATGCCCCCCTAAGCTGAATCAACATCCTCTAAGATACCATTTGCAAACGTTAGCAAAGTCACAAATTGCTTAGACACCACACTATTATTCTGACATTTCACATTCTTAAAATAAAGTGGTGATCCTAACTGACCTAAGACAGGGCATTTTTACTAGGATTAAATGTCAGGAATTGTGAAAAACTGAGTTTAAATGTATTTGGCTAAGGTGTATGTAAACTTCCGACTTCAACTGTATTGGCATATTTGTAGCTAATACAAGACACAGCACCGAGTTTGCTACATTGTTGCACTCGTTTCCAGTATAAAGTGCAACGGGAGGGGCTTTGCGCGCGTCCTCTTCTAGCCAGGTTAATGATCTACGAGACACGCTGCACCTGCACTACAATACAGTAACACAAACACCAAACTAAGCGCCCAGTGCAAAATTGTCATGGGTTTCCGTATTACTGTGGGTGTTCCACAGCTGAATTGTTACGATCATTCAAGTGCCCACTGCTTTTTTTCTTTGTATTAGTACGTGTTATTACTTTTCTATTATTTATATATTTTCTTTCGCTCTGCATTGTTGGGAAGGGCCCGAAGTAATAATGTCACTGTTATTCTACACCTGTTGTATACGAAGCATGTGACTAATAAAATTCGATGAGTCCAAAAGCTGGGCGCAAAAGAATGGCATTGTCAGAGGCAGAGGTAGCGGCAAGCAGTGCGACTGGACTTCAATCATGCGCACAGCTCTGCACTCTGCGCTCTCTGACATTGTAGTGGCGTGTTGCCTAATAGAAACGTGAACCACGAACTTTTGCCCTCTCTTGTGTGATGAGAAACAAAAAAAGAACCACAAAGAAGTGACCATGTTTTCGCAAAATCCGATAAGTAGCCTTGCTAAATATGTTTCGAAGCCGTCGGCCGTGGGACAGGTTGAGGTTTGTATGGTTGAATGTCAGTCTTCTTGCGCTGTTAGGACCGTTGTCCCAGACGGAGAAACCGTAGACCATGGGAGCGTAGCAAATCAGGCTGATCTGAAGGTAAGAAGAAACCGGTCAGTTAGTGTTTAACTGTTTACATTTATATTCCAATTTTAGATATACATGTATGGTGTTATACTGCACACAAAAATTATGAATTGATTTATAAATTATGAATTGATGTATTTGAAATCTGTGAAAATATTGTTTTGAGTCACGACAGTCGGACCATGTTGTGTGTCCATGTCACATCTATCCCTTGACCCATTGGTTGGAGGTTATTACTGTACTGTACATAGAACGCTCTCTCTCACTTTACATTCCCATCAACAAACATGGAGTATCTCAGTATTTGTTTAACAGACAGTGTGAGCTGGGGCTTTCCTCATAGGACATACAGTAAAATAATTTTACAAAATGTATTGCCCATATGTGATACAAGGCCACGAGTTCATATTCATCAGATGAGTTGGTGTTATTTGTTATTGTATGGTAGCCTGTAGTTTTACCATGTTAGAAAATGGCATTGGCGGTGTTCACAATGACTGCCAATGCACCGAATGCTCCCTGGCCTCTCCTCTCCTCCACTTAGCCCGGCACTTGAGTGTCAGATCCAGATGAGCGTTGACTCTAAGCAGAGTCACATTGTTACCGTGTGAGCAGGGTTACTTATGGTCATGTGGTCCTGGACCTGTTAGTAATGCATTGGGCTTTCAACCCCTCTGTTTTACACCAGCAGTCTCTGATCTGTGCGCTCCATCCATTTTAACCCTAACCCTAGCCCTCATATTAAAGCCACACTCCTCCACCTCCACTCCAGAGTAGGTCACTAACAATGTTGACAATGGAGAAATCATTGTGAAGCACCCATGACCTAACTTGCCCTCTGCTTCAAGCCTTTTTAAGGGGCGGCCACAAATCCAAGTCAAGATTTCCTTCAGCTGATTGCAATAAATTTTTTATGGCATCCAGTATTTAAAGGGCTATAAAAAACGTTGCTGCTTTGACTTCTGAAAACACTGAGCCTACATATAACTGACATGATCAAGTATGTGCATCTCTAACTTTTCTCTTTCTCCTGCTCTCATCCTCTACCTCTCTTAAGGAGAAGGTGTGTCCCTGTGAGGCCTGGTGTCTCCAGAAGACGGCATATGAGAACCTGGCCTACGAGCCTGGGAGTCAGACTGAGCTCTACCCCCAACCCCGGGCCCTCTCCCGGGCTGTTTTCCATCTCTCTGGCCTCACCCCCAAGTCCTCCATCCAGGCCATCGAGAGCCCCATCGCTAGCCTGAAGGGAGTGGTGTCTGTCGACTTCTCCGCGGCCAGTGGCCTGGCTCAGGTGGACTATTACGCATCATCTATCTCTACCAGGGAGTTATCTCTGGAGATCCAGGCCATGGGCTACGGCATTGTGGACGTGGCTGGGGAAGAGGTGACTAAGATCGGGGAGACAGAGGCCACAGAGTCTCTGACGAGGATAAGGGTGGAGGGTATGACATGCCAGTCCTGTGTGCACTCCATCGAGGGACGGATAGGGACCCTGCCAGGGGTTCTGCACATCAACGTGTCTCTGAGCGAGCAAGAGGCAGTAGTACGATTTCAGCCCCACACAGTGACATCTGAGGAGCTAAAGGAACAGATTGAGAATATGGGATTTGGCGCAACTCTTACAAACAAAGACACAAGTATCGATTGTGGGCAAGGGGAGACACCTGCGTCATCCTCCATCTTGGATTCACTGACTCAGACGTCAGTCATTGGGATTGTAGGGATGACCTGTAATTCATGTGTCCGGTCCATAGAGGGGAAGATCTCTGAGATGACTGGGGTGTGTTCTATAGTGGTGTCATTAAATGAGGAAAAGGGAACCGTCACCTTTGACCCCAATCTGACTCAGCCAGAGGAACTAAGGGCAGCCATTGAAGGCATGGGATTTGATGCTTCACTCATAGGTATGCTTAATTATTTATTTCACCTTAGAAATGTAACAACAATCACAAACTGCACTTTCATAATCACACATTTCTTTCACGTAATATGGTGAGGGGGGCAGCACAACTGAGTATGTACATTGTTGTACAGAATGCAGAGAAATGGTTTACTTCAACATTCCAAACCCACCAAATTGGCAGTCTGGCAGTGGGGGGTATACAGTAATACTGCTCTCAATGGACAATGCTGTTCAAAGCATTCCATTTCCATCCAGCCTTGCTATTGGTGGAGAGCAGGCAGCGCTTGGGCACGTCTCCTTGGAAACGAGACAAGTGTGCTTTCTAATGTGGCATCAAGTGTTCTTGAATTACCCAGACTTGGGGCCAGTAAAACAAGCTTATAAACGGATTATGAAACGGTTTGGTTCTTTTATTCCCCCCCCTACACTGAAAGCACTCTCTCTCCAGCCATGCATAATCCATCCGACCAATGGTCTTGTTAATATGTTGTATTATTTTCTTCTAAAGAATCTGGTTCTGCAGAAACTCTACCAACTCCTCCACTTCAAAGACCAAACACCCCCCTTTCCCCCTACTCCCCCAAAATGGCTCACAGTAGCTCTGACCTTACCAAGACTTCCATTAACGGTAGCTCTGGCTCTACCAAGATGGCCACTGCCGGTGAGGAGGGGAAGGTTCAGAAGTGCTTCATCCGTGTGACAGGCATGACCTGTGCCTCCTGTGTGGCCAACATTGAGAGGAACTTACTCAAACACAGAGGTGGGTGATGTTATCCTTTAGGTCACTGTCATTACCCATAGAGTCACTAAGCAGAACGCTTGACCTGGCAGTACAGTTTCCATCATGAGGATAAAAAATGATTTTGTGGTGATGCCACTTTCGCTAGCTAGGGGTTAACTGCACACCATTGTGTGTGTGTGTGTGGTATGTGTGTGTGTGTGTGTTCCAGGTGTCATCTCAGTGCTGGTTGCCCTCATGGCTGGTAAGGCGGAGGTGAAGTATGACCCTGGTTTTGTTGATGCCAAGCAGATAACACAGCGCATAGAGTGCCTAGGCTTCGGTGCCACGCTGATAGAGGACAACGCTGTTATGGACGGGAAACTGGACCTCTCTGTGAGTCCTCTTGTTGGCTGAGACAACATGGAGAAAGAAGAAATACATTTCTATGCTTGGTTAAATACATGTTCTATTTTTTGATGTGTAGTCCAGTCCTACATCGGCCCAAAGTATTGTCTGGTACAGCTGCATTAAGTTTCAATTTGTTTGGCTCATCTCATGTGTAGGTAACTGGGATGACGTGTGCGTCGTGTGTCCATAACATTGAGTCCAAACTCACCAGGACCAAAGGGATTCTAGAAGCCTCAGTTGCACTGGCAACCAACAAAGCCCAGATCAAGTTTGACCCAGAAGTGCTTGGAGCTCGTGACATCATCAGAATGATTGAGGTACAGTGCCTTGCAAATGTATTCATCCCCCTTGGTGTTTTTCCTATTTTGTTGCATTACAACCTGTAATTTAAATGGATTTTTATTTGGATTTCATGTAATGGACATACACAGTTGGACAATAGTCCAAATTGGTGAAGTGAAATTAAAAAAATAACTTGTTTCAAAAAAGTATAAAAAATAAATAACGGAAAGGTGGTGCGTGCATATGTATTCACCCCCTTTGCTATGAAGCCCCTAAATAAGATCTGGTGCAACCAATTACCTTCAGAAGTCACATATTTAGTTAAATAAAGTCCACCTGTGTGCAATCTAAGTGTCACATGATCTGTCACATGATCTCAGTATATATACACCTGTTCTGAAAGGCCCCAGAGTCTGCAACACCACTAAGCAACGGGCACCACCAAGCAAGCGGCACCATGAAGACCAAAGAGCTCTCCAAACAGGTCAGGGACAAAGTTGTGGAGAAGTACAGATCAGGGTTGGGTTATAAAAAAATATCCGAAACTTTTAACATCCCACGGAGCACCATTCAATCCATTATTGAAAAATTGAAAGAATATGGCACCACAACAAACCTGCCAAGAGAGGGCTGCCCACCAAAACTCACGGACCAGGCAAGGAGGGCATCAGAGAGGCAACAAAGAGACCAAAGATAACCCTGAAGGAGCTGCAAAGCTCATCAGCGGAGATTGGAGTATCTGTCCATAGGACCACTTTAAGCCGTACACTCCACAGAGCTGGGCTTTACGGAAGAGTGGCCAGAAAAAAGCCATTGCTTAAAGAAGGCGAACACGTTTGGTGTTCGCCAAAAGCCATGTGGGAGACTCCTCGAACATATGGAAGAAGGTACTCTGGTCAGATGAGACTAAAATTAAGCTTTTTGGCCGTCAAGAAAAACGCTATGTCTGGCGCAAACCCAACACTTCTCATCACCCCGAGAACACCATCCCCACAGTGAAGCATGGTGGTGGCAGCATCATGCTGTGGGGATGTTTTTCATCGGCATGGACTGGGAAACTGGTCAGAATTGAAGGAATGATGGATGGCGCTAAATATAGGGAAATATTGACTTGAAGAATGGGCAAAAATCCCAGTGACTAGATGTGCCAAGCTTATAGAGACATACCCCAAGAGACTTGCAGCTGTAAAAGGTGGCTCTACAAAGTATTGATTTTGGGGGGGTGAATAGTTATGCACGCTCAAGTTTTCTGTTTTTTTGTCTTATGTTTCACAAAAAATATATATTTTGCATCTTCAACGTGGTAGGCATGTTGTGTAAATCAAATGACACAAACACCCAAAAAAATCCATTTTAATTCCAGGTTGTAAGGCAACAAAGTAGGAAAAATGCCATGGGGGGTGAATACTTTCGCAAGCCACTGTAGCTACCTATAACTTGACTTTGCTGTCATGTCTCTTTAAATGTAGTTGTTGAATTTGTTTTTTCCATCACCAACCCCTTGTTGTTGTCCAATAATTGTTTCCAACACCTATGCATTCACATTGTGCAATTACAGTGTTGGTACAGTGGGGTAAAAAAGTATTTAGTCAGCCACCAATTGTGCAAGTTCTCCCACTTAAAAAGATGAGAGAGGCCTGTAATTTTCATCATAGGTACACGTCAACTATGACAGACAAATTGAGAAGAAAAAAATCCAGAAAATCACATTGTAGGATTTTTGATGAATTTATTTGCAAATTATGGTGGAAAAACAAGTATTTGGTCACCTACAAACAAGCAAGATTTCTGGCTCTCACAGACCTGTAACTTCTTCTTTAAGAGGCTCCTCTGTCCTCCACTCGTTACCTGTATTAATGGCACCTGTTTGAACTTGTTATCAGTATAAAAGACACCTGTCCACAACCTCAAACAGTCACACTCCAAACTCCACTATGGCCAAGACCAAAGAGCTGTCAAAGGACACCAGAAACAAAATTGTAGACCTGCACCAGGCTGGGAAGACTGAATCTGCAATAGGTAAGCAGCTTGGTTTGAAGAAATCAACTGTGGGAGCAATTATTAGGAAATGGAAGACATACAAGACCACTGATAATCTCCCTCGATCTGGGGCTCCACGCAAGATCTCACCCCGTGGGGTCAAAATGATCACAAGAACGGTGAGCAAAAATCCCAGAACCACACGGGGGGACCTAGTGAATGACCTGCAGAGAGCTGGGACCAAAGTAACAAAGCCTACCATCAGTAACACACTACGCTGCCAGGGACTCAAATCCTGCAGTGCCAGACGTGTCCCCCTGCTTAAGCCAGTACATGTCCAGGCCCGTCTGATGTTTGCTAGAGTGCATTTGGATGATTCAGAAGAGGATTGGGAGAATGTCATATGGTCAGATGAAACCAAAATATAACTTTTTGGTAAAAACTCAACTCGTCGTGTTTGGAGGACAAAGAATGCTGAGTTGCATCCAAAGAACACCATACCTACTGTGAAGCATGGGGGTGGAAACATCATGCTTTGGGGCTGTTTTTCTGCAAAGGGACCAGGACGACTGATCTGTGTAAAGCAAAGAATGAATGGGGCCATGTATCGTGAGATTTTGAGTGAAAACCTCCTTCCATCAGCAAGGGCATTGAAGATGAAACGTGGCTGGGTCTTTCAGCATGACAATGATCCCAAACACACCGCCCGGGCAACGAATGAGTGGCTTCGTAAGAAGCATTTCAAGGTCCTGGAGTGGCCTAGCCAGTCTCCAGATCTCAACCCCATAGAAAATCTTTGGAGGGAGTTGAAAGTCCGTGTTGCCCAGCGACAGCCCCAAAACATCACTGCTCTAGAGGAGATCTGCATGGAGGAATGGGCCAAAATACCAGTGTGGTCCTCTGTAGCTCAGCTGGTAGAGCACGGCGCTTGTAACGCCAAGGTAGTGGGTTCGATCCCCGGGACCACCCATACACAAAAATGTATGCACGCACGACTGTAAGTCGCTTTGGATAAAAGCGTCTGCTAAATGGCATATTATTATTATTATTATTACCAGCAACAGTGTGTGAAGACTTACAGAAAACGTTTGACCTGTGTCATTGCCAACAAAGGGTATATAACAAAGTATTGAGAAACTTTTGTTATTGACCAAATACTTATTTTCCACCATAATTTGCAAATAAATTAATTAAAAATCCTACAAATGTGATTTTCTGGATTTTTTCTTCTCATTTTGTCGTTCATAGTTGACGTGTACCTATGATGAAAATTACAGGCCTCTCTCATCTTTTTAAGTGGGAGAACTTGCACAATTGGTGGCTGACTAAATACTTTTTTCCCCCACTGTACATATTCTTACAACTGTTATACCTCTGTCTGTGCCAGGGGCTAGGCTTTGGGGCGTCTCTAATGAAAGCTGAAGGCTTTGGGAACAACCTGGATCATGGGGAGGAGATTCAACAGCAAGTATTTGTTTTGGTAGTCTTTAGATTCTGACCTGAGATACGTGTTCTTGAATCAACCTTGATTTGTTTTAACACACTCTCCTCTCTGCATGCGTCCTGTGTGTGTGTGTGTTTGTGTGTGTTCCAGGTGGAAGAACTCATTCCTGTTCAGTCTGGTGTTTGGGGTGCCAGTGATGGGTTTGATGATCTACATGATGGTGATGGACAGTCAGCACGGGGAACACGGTGGCTCTATGCCCGAGGAGCAGAACCTTCTCCCAGGCCTCTCCCTCCTCAACCTGGCCTTCTTCCTCCTCTGTACACCTGTCCAGGTACAGTAAGACCCTACCGAGCCCTACTACTGATTATCTACTCTATGTAGTAGTCCATGATATAATACCTGTAAGTCACATTTATCTCTCTCTCGCTCTCTCGCTCTCTCGCAATCTCTTTGTCTCTCCTCTGTCTCTCTCTCTCTCTCTCCTCCTCTCTCCCTCCCCCCACCTCCTACTCCTCCATCAGATCTTTGGGGGTCGTTATTTCTACATGCAGGCGTACCGCTCGTTGAGACACCGCACGGCTAACATGGACGTCCTCATCGTCTTGGCAACTTCCATCGCCTACGTCTACTCAGTTGTGGTCCTCGTCGTGGCGATGGCAGAGAGAGCCAATCAAAGCCCTGTCACCTTCTTTGACACCCCGCCCATGCTCTTCGTCTTCATTGCCCTGGGCCGGTGGCTGGAGCACATAGCAAAGGTACCTACTCTACTGTACTCTACTCTACTCTATTATACTCTATTATACTCTATTCTACACTACTCTTCTCTACTCTATTCTATTCTACTCTACTATATTCTACACTACTCTACTCTATTCTACTCTACGCTATTCTACTCTATTCTACACTACTCTTCTATTCTACTCTACTCTATTCTACTCTACTCTACTCTATTATACTCTATTCTACTCAATTCTACACTACTCTATTCTATTCTACTATACTCTATTCTACACTACTCTACTCTACTCTATTCTACTGTACTCCACTCTATTCTATTCTACTGTACTCTATTTTACTCTATTCTACTCTACTCTATTCTACTCTATTCTATTCTGCTGTTCTCTACTCTATTCTACTCTACTCTATTCTATTCTTCTATTCTACTCTATTCTAATCTATTCTACAATACGCTACTATATTCTACTATATTCTACTCTATTCTACACTACTCTATTCTGCTCTACTCTATTCTACACTACTCTATTCTACTCTATTCTACTGTACTCTGCTCTATTCTACTCTATTCTATTATATTATACTCTTCTCTATTCTACACTACTCTACACTACTCTACTCTTTTCTGTTCTACTCTATTCTACACTACTCTATTCTACTCTACTCTATGCTACACTACTCTATTCTACTGTACTCTATTCTATTCTATTCTACACTACTCTACTCTATTCTATTCTACTCTATTCTATTATTTTCTACTTTATTCTACTCTATTCTATTCTACTCTACTCTAGTCTACTCTATTATATTCTACTATATTCTACTCGACTCGACTCTATTCTACTCTACTATATTCTACTCAATTCTAATCTATTCTACACTATTCCATTCTACTTTATTCCATTCTACTCTACTCTGCTCTATTATATTCTACTCTATTCCATTCTATTATATTCTACTCAATTGTATTCTACTCACTCTACTCTATAGTATTCTACTCTATTCCATTCTACACTACTCTATTATTTTCGACTCCATTCTACTCTATTCCATTCGATTCTACTCTACTCTACTGTACTCTAGTCCATTCTACTCTACTCTACTCTATTCTACTGTACTCTATTCCATTCTACTCTACTCTACTCCATTCCATTCTATTATATTCTACTCTACTCTACTTTACTCCATTCCATTCTATTCTATTCTACTCAATTCTAATGGCAGTGTTTCCCCTACCATTAGTTATGCGGGTTGCATTCCACTTTCCTTTACCTGGACCACAGCTAAAGGAGTTTTGGTTGGTAGTACTCCTGTTCCTCTCAGCTTTATGGATGGTTGATCACCAGGGGGTTATTGTAGGTCATAAGCTGAAGGCTTATCCTGAGGCGGCTGGTAATTCCCAGGTTTAATCAACAGCCTCTCACCTCATTGTCTCTGTCTGTGTTTCCTGTTCCTGTTCTGCAGAGCAAGACATCTGAGGCACTGGCCAAGCTGATGTCACTGCAGGCTACTGATGCCACTGTGGTCACGTTAGGTCCTGACCACTCCATCCTCAGGTGAACACAAACCCAGACCCATTTTCCCACAGTGAACACTTGTGAAAAATACATGTATTTTATATGATGTTTATTATTATTATATTGGCCTCATTTAATCAAACCTGCCTTAGCCATGATTTCTCTACAATCTGTTTATAGCTGTGTCCATAAACTATTCTGAGAATATTTCACCGCAATAAATCTGTACTGTGTCTGTGCTGTGTGTGTGTGTGCATACGTGCGCGCGCGCGCGTGTGTGTGTGTGTGTGTGCTTGTGTCTGTACTGTGTGTGTCAGTGAGGAGCAGGTGTCGGTGGAGCTGGTCCAGAGAGGGGACATAGTGAAGGTGGTGCCTGGGGGAAAGTTCCCCGTGGACGGGAAGGTGATCGAGGGAAGCTCCATGGCAGATGAGTCCCTCATCACAGGTAAGAGCCGTTTTGTTGGGGAACCAATGGGCCAAAGCGGTTTACTGTCATTATGGTCCTTTTGTGGTCTATTGGTGGTTGACTGTGGTCATCAGTGTTGTAGTGAAGGTAAAGGCATGTAAACGCCGGTTACGCACCTTCTTTTATTTAGCGCTAGCAAAATACCACTAAATGACCCATCTATCATGGAAAAATGCATTGAAAAATATAGGTAGCATTACTTTATTCCCTGCTAACGGTGATCAGCGTTTACCTACTTATTTTCTTAACACTACATCACTGGTAGTCATTGTGGTAATTTAGTGGTCTATATCGGTGGTTGTTGGGAATCATTGTGGTTCTTTGGTGGTCAATGTTCTCTCTGTGGTCAGGTGAGCCCATGCCTGTGAGTAAGAAGCCTGGCAGTTCAGTGATAGCTGGCTCCATCAACGCCCACGGATCTCTACTGGTGCAGGCCACCCACGTAGGAGCAGACACTACCCTCTGTCAGATAGTCAAACTAGTGGAGGAGGCACAGACATCCAAGGTAAACAAACCACTTTATGTCCAAGGTCAAGACTACATGTCTTTGATTGTAGGATACAGCTACCTGTGTAAATATAAGACAAGAACACAAGTTGTAGGTTGCAATATAATCAGTTATTGATGATATTTTCAAAGTATCTGAAACATCTCTTTTGTTGGACTAGGCCCCCATCCAGCAGTTTGCAGACAGACTGAGTGGCTACTTTGTCCCATTCATAGTCATTGTCTCAGTGCTAACACTGCTGGTCTGGCTGGTGATCGGCTTTGTCAACTTCCACGTTGTGAAGGAGTACTTTCCTGTGAGTAACCACAAGAGCTTATCAAACTCTTATCAAAGCCTTATGGCCTTATGTACTTTCTGAATGAATGAAGAGATCAGTCCTGAATGATAGTCTTAGTGTGTGTGTGTGTCTGTGTGTGTTTGTGTGTTTCCACCTCACAGGGTTACGATGAGAACATCCCCAAGACAGACGTTATTGTCCGCTTCGCCTTCCAGGCCTCCATCACAGTCCTGTCCATCGCCTGCCCCTGCTCTCTGGGCCTGGCGACCCCGACAGCTGTCATGGTGGGCACGGGGGTCGGAGCCCAGAACGGCATCCTCATCAAGGGAGGGGAACCGCTGGAGATGGCCCACAAGGCAATCCACCTCTATTTACTTCCTCCCAACCGAAACATGCTTCCTGTAAACTTCCAGTGTTTTCCAAACTGTAGTGTGGGCCGGGTACAGGGTACAGTCGGTTATGGTGACTTAGTGTGAAGCTGTACATGTATGATAGGCATTTTCCACTGCTAAAGCTACCACCAGTAACACAGAAAGGAAATGACAGTTTTTTCCGCTCCCTCCTTTCCTCCCCATTCAGATCGGTGCGGTGATGTTTGATAAGACGGGCACCATCACTAACGGTGTCCCGCGGGTGACGAGGGTGTTGGTGCTGTGGGAGAGGGCACGGCTGCCCCTGCGTAAGGTCCTGGCACTGGTTGGCACAGCGGAGGCCAGCAGCGAACACCCACTGGGGATTGCTGTGGCCAAGCACTGCAAAGAGGTGAGGGTATTTCATTTATATTGAAAAAAATATAAACACAACATGTAAAGTGTTGGTTCTATGTTTCATGAGCTGAAATAAAAGATCCCAGAAATGTTTCCATATGCACAAAAAGCGTATTTCTCTCAAATGTTGTGCACAGATATGTTTACATCCCTGTTAGTGAGCATTTCTCCTTTGCCAAGATAATCCATCCTCCTGACAGGTGTTGCATATCAAGAAGCTAATGAATTGATTTCAATTGACTGATATCCTTATATGAACTGTAACTCAGTAAAATCGTTGCATGTTGTGTTTATATTTTTGTCCAGTGTATATCTACCAGGTATCTGTGCCTTAGCTGCTGTATAAACACAGACAAGTCATTCTCTTTACCCTGGATAGCTTCTCCAGGTCGTTGATATAAATGACAATGAATGTTCTCAGTCAACTTACCTGGTGAAGTAAGGGCTCAATAGAATTGAATAAAGAACTAATGTGTGTATGTGTTTGTCTGTCTTTGTGTGTGTATGCGTCTGTCCGTATGTATATCAGGAGCTGGAGACAGATGTGCTGGGTTCCTGTAAGGACTTCCAGTCGGTGCCAGGCTGTGGGATCAGCTGTAAGGTGTCTAACATTGAGGAGGTACTGCTGGAGGGTGACCGGGGCTCCTGTCATAACCAGCAGGTCACACTGCAGGGGGCCACGACTGACGAGAGCAGCCTGGTCGGTGACACCGTGTCGGTGTCAGGTCAGTTTTGCTTTACAACATCACGGTTTTTACCGCTTTACTTTGTGGTTGTACTCATGATGTAGTTCCATTTGACCTCCTCTCCTGATGAGTGTGTGAGAGAGACAACAAGAGATAGACAGAGAGAGACAGAGAGAGAGAGAGATGGAGATGGGGAGAAGAGAGCGAGAGACTGTAGAAAGTTGTCTAGACTTGAAGTCCACTCCATTGCTAATAATGTTTTGTGTGTTGTCCAGGTGCCTCTGCTAGCCCCTCCTATTCGGTCCTGATCGGGAACAGAGAGTGGATAAGGCGGAACGGGCTTCATGTAGGAGCTGACGTGGACGACGCCATGTCCAGCCACGAGACCAAGGGGCAGACAGCCATCCTCGTAGCTATAGATGGTACAGTCTCTGTCCAATGACAGACATTTACATTTTTGACTGTGTCATACTCGCAACAGTGGTTTATCTATGACCCTCAGGACTGTGTCATACTCCAACAGTGGTTTATCTATGACCCTCAGGACTGTGTCACACTCCAACAGTGGTTTATCTATGAGGTACATATACTGAACATGGGCTATGTTTCAATCCCCAGCATCAACCTCACCTTTCCGTGTTGTGGACATGTTCCATCTCCTCTTCCTGTGCTCTAGGTGTACTGTGTGCCATGCTGGCCATAGCAGACACAGTGAAGCCAGAGTCTGCCCTGGCTGTCCATACGTTACTCAGCATGGGGATAGAGGTGGTCATGATCACTGGGGACAACAGACGTACTGCTAAGGCTATAGCCACACAGGTAAGAGAAGGAGAGAGACGGCAGGCGTCGCACCTGGGGATGTGTGAAACGTGCTCCTCATTCTGAAGTGTCGCCACTTGTACCGACAAATTGTTCATTTTCTTGTGGTGCCGACTGGTAAGACGATTCGGGAGGGCGTGTGTTAGCAAGAGGGTTTGTAGCCTCGTTTTGAGCTGAGTCAGGAGGAAGCGGTACTCGCTAAGCAAGCAGCGTGGCGTTCATTACACACACGTCTGCATTGTGTCTCTGTCCCTCCTCCAGGTGGGCATCAGGAAGGTGTTTGCGGAGGTACTGCCGTCCCACAAGGTGGCCAAGGTGCAGGAGCTGCAGGAGAGGGGTCTGAGGGTGGCCATGGTGGGCGACGGGGTCAATGACTCGCCCGCCCTCGCCCGCGCCGACGTTGGCATCGCCATAGGGACGGGCACCGACGTGGCCATAGAGGCAGCTGACGTGGTGCTGATCAGGGTGAGGAGCAGAGTGGGGTTGGGGATGTTAACGACATACTAGTTACTTGTGTTGTGATCTACTTGAAAGGGAGAGATGAGGTCTACAGGCTGTATTTTCTGTCCCAAAGGAACTTTAGTTGTTTGAGTTTTTTCTCCTTTGTACGTAGAATGATCTGTTAGACGTGGTGGCCTGTATTGAGCTGTCCAAGAAGACTGTTCAGAGGATACGCATCAACTTTGTCTTCGCTCTCATCTATAACCTGGTAGGGATTCCCATCGCCGCAGGTGAGTACCAAATCAAATCAAATTGTATTGGTTCGCATACACATATTCAGCAGATGTTATTGCGGGTGTAGCGAAATGCTTGTGTTCCTAGCGCCAACAGTGCAGTAGACTGTGTGTGTGTATTTATTATGGATCCCCATTAGCTGCTGCCAAGACAGCAGCTACTCTTCCTGTAGGTGTCTGTGAGATGCCTGTGTGCATGTATCCATGTAGTAAAGCTGGGTTGTGCACTGTACTCCCCCAGGTGTGTTTCTTCCCGCTGGTCTGGTCCTACAGCCATGGATGGGTTCAGCAGCTATGGCTGCTTCCTCTGTGTCTGTGGTCGTCTCTTCCCTCCTGCTAAAACTGTGAGTGTATGCCTCTGCCCCTCTGTCTGTCCGTCCTTCCATCTATCTCCCTATCGATTTATTTCAACCAATCAAACTTGCCCTCCATACTTTTCAACATTCCAGATGGGAACTTTTACTGGACGTCATGCGAGCATTTTCATATCACTTTTCAAGTACCTCAATCTCTTCACTGTAAACTCGGTCCATTGAGAAGCGTTTCCATAGTAACCCGAGTAAAGCAGCGGTTGCCTGTAGAGCCGCCCAGGGCAGTGTGTCCATGGTGTCTCTGTTGCAGCAGCAGCCCACTCACTGAACACTACCCAGACTGAACACAGTGCACTTTGACCTCTCCGCTGTTAACGATTTGGAACCACTCCAACGCCCTCTTTATCTATCGCAAACAATGTAAACGTCTCCATCTTTCTCTCCTTTTCTGTTCCTTACATACCACTTAGTTTTATGTGATGTTTGTCTTACTCACTCACACGTTATTTTGCGTATATAAACACGGCACTTGTCCGTTTCAGGTCAAGTCTCTGTCTCTAACACTTTTCTCCCCATCCTCCTCTTACTCACTCTCTTTTACTAAAACTAACCTCAGTCCTCTCCTGCCTCCCCCTGCTCCAGGTATAAGAAAACGTCAATTGAGACGTTTGAGTTCCGGGCCCAGGGGAACATGAAGAGCCTGAGCCCCAGCCAGGTGAGCACCCACGTGGGTCTGGATGACCGGCGACGAACCCCTCCCTCCCTCCGCGGGGCCTGGGAGCGCCTGAGCCAGGGCAGCCGCCTCTCCGTGCCCATCTCCCTCTCCAGCCAGCCGGCCAGCCGAGGTCCATCCACCCACTCTCTCCAGGACCAGGACCGCTGCTCCCTGCTGGACCACGAGAAGGAAGTGGGCCTCATAGTGTAGCAAGGTGCCAGGGAGAGGAGGTTATGTCGAAAGGGAAACTACCTGTCCTATGGAAATCGTCTGATGGAAAGGTCCAAGGGAAACGGTCCACATTCCTTAGTCGTATCCTATTCATTATTAATTATTATGAGGAAATGTTATTAGTTTTCAACTTTTGGAGGGTGATTGTCATGTGTGGTGTGCCTACCTGTTGTCTGTTATGAGTGTGTTCTAATGATACATTTGTCTCTCCTTTGTCCCTGTAGTCCTTACTGTACAATTACCAAATATATTTCAGTAAAATCCACCAATGTTTCTGCTTTCTACTTCCCTTGCCTTGCTAGCCTATCTCATCAAGCTTTTACAATACATCTCCAGCAACATGTACATTTAGGCCTATAACTAGGCCATACGTGTATAATCACCTTCTAATTCAAAGCATTGTGTTTGTAGAACCTCATTGGAAAGACTTCTACTACATCTTCAGAGCTAAAGAGATACATCATTCTGTGTCAGTGAGAGAATTGATCATTCATGTTGCATGGCCTGTCATGTCTTCACACTAGTGGTAGTAGATGGCGAGGACAGGGAATAGATTACACCCCTGAAGTACTCCCCTAGGGTGCATCTCAATAGTCTGCATTGGCTTCCTCAGTCGTCTATGTCATCTGATTTACATGAGAGAACTGAGATGAATTTGGATTCCTTAGAAGATGTGATTTTCCCCTCTCCTTTACAAAGTTCAGGGTAAGGAGTGGGGTTACCAATCACTGTCTATGTTGCATGATAATGAGGTCCACAAAATGCTCTCATCTTTCATTCAGTAAACTGAGAAGGCTTCTTCTGCTATTAAACTTGTATGTCTATTTCTAAATGATGTTACATAACTGGTTTAACCGGTAGGTGGGCAGCTGCAGGTAGCCTGCGAGAAGAAAAAACAGGATTTTAGGCACAACATTCAGAGAAACGCATTTGGACAATATTCCTCCTATTCATGAAAACATTGCACTCATTCATGCAGTTGTTTTAATAAACTACTCTGCGGGGGTGGGGGAGGGCGAGACTCTCCCTGATAAAGAAGAGGGGCTCAAGAATGCGGTTTCACAGAAGATGCTCAACTGAAACCGTCCGCATTGTCTCCTCATTCCACTTGTTTTGTTGTGCACTGATTCAAAAACAGAACATTTACACACATTGTCGCAGACTATTTCAGGAAGGCTAGAAGGTAAGTGATTGTAAATTGGTGGAGTTTTTAGGTTATTAACAAGTATTTGCGGAGAGCATTTTTGATTATATCTAAACAGTAAGCTATGCCTTTAAGTCTCTGGGTTGTTTGACATAATTGACCATCCAAGTCATTCGATATAGCCTATTCAGTTATTTCAATTGGATGTGCATGACTAACACTGTCTTCCAGTACGGTCTCCCTCTGTTGTTTGGTCAGTGTGGATGCAACATAATGTTCTGGTGGTTATTAGGTTCTAGGTGACCTGTGCAGAATTCATCATGACTGGTGTGGCGAAGGCATGTCATAACTGTCTGTCTAAAATGCCCAGTAATGGTGAGTGAGACACACACGCGCACACACACACACACACACACACACACACAATGTATTCAGTAACATGAAGAAACTGAATTGCACTGTGGGATATCATGGATGAAATGTTTGGTCCTCTGTAGCTGCACTTTCAATAAAAGCGTCTGCTAAATGGCATATATTATTATTATATATTAAAATAGTGTTGTTGATCACTTTATTAGCACTTCAGATGTGGGCAATAGATACAAATACAAAATATGTTACAATTTACCCCAGTCTCCCCTAAGTCAGTACATGACACTCAACCAATTTCCCCCAGTCTCCCCTACTAGCTGTGCAAGGAAATTCCAAGGTGCATGACCAGGTTTGAGGATGTGTTTCAACAAAAGTAAAGTACAGTAGGCTAATGTTATGGGTAAAGTAGGAAACCCAGGTTTTAATAGGGTATAAAATATAAATGTGTCATGAAAGGAGTGTGGATATCTGGCCCAGCGAAGTGGTTTTATGCGTTGCCTGAAGGGATAATCATTCTGAGTTTTTTACACCACTGGTTTAAGCTGGTCTCAGGAAGAAATGTAAGAGTCGTCGTTGTCCGAGACACTCAATATGTGGTCTCGAGACCGGACTCATCTCGAGTTCAACACTGGATAGTGGTAATGGTAGTTTAATAAGAGGTTCGATTCAGATTCAGAAAACGTTAATGTCCTCAAGAGGCAATTCATTTTGCAGCGGTCAAAGTGCAAACAAAGGAGATCACATATTAAAATTGAAAAACACAACAACAGAAAAAAAAGCTACGGATATTTACACAATATTTACTAACAAGTACTTGTTTGAGTGGAGCTGGTTAATGCTTTGCATGTATTTTTCTGGACAGATTTATAACAATTTCTTTTTTTCTAGCCTACTTTGTGGTGGGACTTCTGTTCTTTCTTGCCGTTCCTCTCACCATGGCGTTTGTAGGTAAGACCACAAAATTAGAATACTAGAACGGACATGAACCTTCTTATGATGGGATAAAGGTCAGCCATTTTGGTCAGGGAGTTGTTCAACCATGGTGATAAGATAATGTGTAAAGTAATTGAAGCATTTGTCTACACTGTATGTTTGTTAGCTAGCTAGCCAGACAATTTTAGAGGAATGATTCCATTAATTTTTCAGATTAACTGCCAATATGCCAACATTCCATTCAAACAATGCAGTCAAACCACAGCCATACATTGGCTGAAATCAGTTGATGATAGGACTTAGACAAGTTGTAAATGCAACAAAGTACTGATATTGTGTCATATAATAGCACTCACAGCTTTCTGAGAAAACCAACAATGTTGACATTTATGGTTGTTTACATATAATTTGGAGGCTACTTATACAAAACATTTGCATAATACCAGTATAAACTGTAGTTAGAATTACTAGTGGCAGCCATCCATATGGACTGTACATCATTTAAATTATTAATTTGATTTAATGCAATCCCCCCTCCTCCAAATCCTAAATGTGTTTATCTGTTTAGCTTTTTGGTCTCTGGATATACCAATATTCTCAACTCCAGAGCATTTAAAAAAAACTCCCTTAGGTCTATTTCCGTGGGATCATGTCACTTGCTTTCTCTTTAAAATGTAATGTTGGCTTTCCATGAAAAGTATTCAGACCCCTAGACTTTTTCCAAATTTTGTTAGGTTACAGGCTTATTCTAAAATGTCTTAAATTGTATTTTTTCCTTATCAATCTAAACACAATAACCCATAATGACAAAGCAAAAACAGGTATTCTTGGGTATGATGTGTGCAAGCTGTCATCAAGGCAAATGGTGGCTATTTGAAGAATCTCAAATATAAAATATATTTTGATTTGTTTAACACTTTTTTGCTTACTACATGACTCCATATGTGTTATTTCATAGTTTTGATGTCTTCACTATTATTCTACAATGTAAAAAATAGTAAAAATAAAGAAAAACCCTCGAATGAGTAGCTGTGTCCAAACCTTTGACTGGTACTGTATATATTTTTAAAACGGTATAGGAGGGCTCAGTACTTAAATGTATTCAATAAATTAATTGTTTAATCTAACATGTACAAGCAGGAATGCATGATAAATATATTTTGATTCGCAGTAGGCCTACCTAAACCAGGGATTGGCATGAACTTTGGGTTGACAATTAGGCTATTGTTGCTATAATTCTACTGTCAAAATAGGGCTCCAGAATTGCAGATGTATTTTGTTCCATAAAGATTAATTTGCGTAGGTGTACATCTTTTTGTGTTCAAATAGGCTATCACATAGGCTTATTCACTTGGGGCTAATCACCGAGGAAAGGGAAACCAAAACCACAACAGTAAATTTGCCTACTGTTTTTTTTCGCAGGATTATATTTTGAAATGTTGCGTAGGCTAGCTAGCTAATTACTGAATCTTTCTCTTTCTTCGCTTCTCTCCAGCTAGGCTACTCCGAGCGCGCAGGGAGAAACAGGGGCAGGCAGGGCAAACACTTTCATCCAGGAATCAGGAACTAACTGTTCGACCAAATTATGGTTTTAGCTGACCCCAAAATAGAAAGTGTTGAGTGAAGTGACCAGACAAAATTTTTAGCTCGCACGGATGCGACCACATCCAAGCGTGGAAGTAGGCCCAATTTCCACCTCTCCACTTTATCTACCAGCTCACGTTTGTTTCCTATGTTTTAGGCCTAGTGCTTAGGCTATATGACGCATTATATATACCTTGCTTTGTTTGACAACATTATTTGAAAGGAGTTGAGGGTTATAAGAGTTGGGTAAAACAGGGCAGCGGGTCATAAGATATGTTGAATATTTTACGCATGTTACCGCCCTAGACTATAAGCGCAGCAGCGCAGTTAATACTGTAGACCAGGGTTCTTCAATTCCGGTCCTGGAGGGCCGAAACACTTCTGTTTTTTATTTCTACCTGGTAGTTAATTGCACTCACCTGGTGTCCCAGGTCTGAATTAGCCCCTGATTAGAAGGAGAGGATGAAAAACAGAGGTGTTTCGGCCCTCCAGGACCGGAATTGAAGAACCCTGCTGTAGACCTATGTGGATTGCGGCATGTTGCAAAATTAATATGACTGCCATGGTAATTTGGAATGTCCAGTCAATGAGCATTATGATTAATAGGCCTAGTCATTCTACAGATCAGATGCTTTATGACAGAAAAAAAAGTAGTTAAAGTTAGTTAGAAGCGCTAATTTTTCTTTAGAAGACTTTGCAGCCCAAAGGACACTTACATAACCCGGTATGTGAGGGACCTAACGTATCCCTTTGCCAACTCTACTCTTGCGCCTAACGGTTGAAGAATATCGGTATATCCAGAGACCAAAAAGCTGAACAGATAAAAACATTTTTGATTTGCAGGAGGAAGGAATTGCATTGAATCAAGTTATTAATTACTTCCGTAAGGGATCCAATGTGTATCAATGTTTTAAATAAATAGCCTACATTTGTTAGGTCTACATTTAATTGTCAGGGACCGATACAATGTACACAATGTTTTGTTATCCTATCCTACTTATTCAACTCTATACTGACTAAAACAAACTCTAAACCATCTAATAATAAAAAGACAAAGTAGTAACTGTTTTAGTTAAATGCCCATCTTTTATTTAAGCAGACTTTTAACACCTCTGCGCTACCAGGGGTCGGGTCTGGAAGGAGAACCGGGAGGGGGTGGTTAGTTCAGATAGGTTACCCGGCCTGTCTAACGCCTCCTGCGGCCTCCTCTCCTGCGACGCTGGGACATCCTGGGGCGACGGCGCCTGCGGAC